AACAACAACATCACACTAATATCACGTGCAAGCAAAACACTATGGAAGATTATCCAGAAATGACTGGAACAGTAGTATACTACCAGAAATACAAGCTGGGTTTAGAAGATGATGTGGTACTAGGGACATCTTTGTTAATGTCAGATGAATCTTGTCTGAAAGCAGAGAGTACCAGAGGAATGCCTATCTGTGTTTCATTGACTATGCAAAGGAATTTAACTGTGTAGATCACAACACACTGTGGCTGACTGGGAAGAGAATGGGAATCCCAGAGCACTTGATTGTGCTTATGTGAAATCTATACTTGGACCAGGAAGCAGTCGTCAGAACAGAGCAACGAAACACTATATGGTTCAAAATCAGAAAAAAGAGTGCATCAGGGATGTGTCCTGTCTCCATACCTTTTCAATCTGTATGCAGACTAGATCATTCAAGAGGCTGGACTTTATGAGGAGGAATATGGCATCAGGACTGGAGGAAGATTCATCAACAACCTGCGTTATGCAGATGACACAACCTTGCTTGCTGAAACTGAGGAGGACCTGAAGCACTTACTGCAGAAGGCTGAGGATTGTAATTTGCAGTATTGATTGAAGTTCAATATCAGGAAGATAAAGATTTTCATCACTGGGCCAGTTGGCAATGCCAAGATAGTTGGAGAAGAGATTGAGGTTGTTAATAATTACAGCTTGCTCAACTCTGCAGTCAGCACTCTTGGCACCACCAGCAGTCAGGAAATCAAAAGATGAATACACTGGGAAAACCGTCTGTCAGGGACCTCTCCCTGAGTACTGAGAGGCAATGATGTCAGTCTAGAGCCGAAGGCCTGATCAAGGCCATGGTCTTCATAATTACTTGCTATACATCAGAGAGTTGGACAATAATTAAGGATGACAGAAGAAAAATCAATGAGTTTGAGTTGTGGTGCTGGAGAAGAGTCTTGAACATACCATGGACTGCCAAGAAAACAAAAAAGATCTGTTTGGAGTGAAACCAAGTTTCTCCTTGGAGGGTAGGATTTTGAAGCTCCATCTCACATACTTTGGACACATGACCTGCAGGGATCAGTCCTTGGAGAAGGACGTTGTGCTTGGAAGGGTGGAGTGACAGTGCAAGAGAGGAAAACCCTGGATGAGAAGGATTGATATAGTAACTGGGGCAGGTATGTCAGAGTCAGTGAGACTGGCTCAGGACAGGGCAGGCTTCAGAGCTGTTGTATGTAGGGTCGCTATGCATTGCAGACAACATCAGGGTCTTTTTTTCTTTTTTTGGTTGTTTTAGGTATTTTAGGTCTCTGGTAGTTCATCCTAGCTGGAACTAGGAGTCCTCACCTGTGGATTTTAAGGCATATATTCCTTTATCCAGTTTTACAATTTGTTGAGTCAAAGAGTCTTACTTTAAGTTAACTAGAAACCAAATCCATTGCCATGGAGTCTGTTCCAACACATGGCTGCCCCATTTTGTGGGCCTGGAAAGTTGACTGGGGTTGTGTCACTGCCTGACTGGAAACTGTAAGTCCTTTGGCACTCGGGGAAGGCAGCACAGTCAGAGCTTGTGGGTACTGAGGTAACTTCTGGCACACCGAACCCCATCTAACCTGCATGCTTGGCAGACAATTCACCAGCTCTGTCCTCTCTTTCCTAGTGACAAGCACAGACTATGACACTGCAGCTGATGCCACCGAGACCTCATCTTACTTCAGTGCCCAAGGCTACTTGTCCAGGTAGGGCTTTGAGCAGAAGCTGGACTGAGCCCAGTAGACTGGTGGGTCCCTGGGCCCCTAGGTAAATGGTCCTCAGACTGACAGAATACAGAGCCTCCTCACAGGCCGTTGTGGTCTTCTGTCACCCTGTCCATTTGTTTAGTCCTTTTGCTGCTCTTCCAGCCATAGTACCTTTTTTTTCTGTCTTGGCAGCCGGGAACAGGAGGGCATGGAATCGACTGCAGAGGAGGGGCAGCTTCCCCAAGTAGTGGAAGAGCTGAAAGACGTGCAGGTGGCCCCAGGCACACGCCTGGCCAAGTTCCACCTCAAGGTGAAAGGTAAGAGGAGAAGGGAGTAAGGGGCACCACGGGGTACGAAGGCTACCACCATTCAGTCATAATGAGACACCACCACCCAGGGAAGCCCTGACCAGTGCTGCCTCGCGCCACAGGAGACTGGCACTCGTCAAGAGATCCCATCATAGGGACACTTCCTCCTCACGTCGTCCTTAGAACACAATGTACCCACCCTCCCACAGGTCCCTAGGCAGGTGACTCTGTGTGTCCTTGTTCTCCCTGTGGCTCCAGGCTACCCGACACCTCGCCTGTACTGGTTCAAAGATGGGCAGCCTCTGTCCGTGTCCCCCCACATCCGCATGACTGATAAGAAGACGTTGCACACCCTGGAGATCCTCTCAGTCACCAGGGAGGACTCTGGCCAGTACTCAGCCTACATCAGCAACACCGTGGGCGCAGCCTACTCGTCTGCCCGCCTCGTGGTGCGCGGTAGGTACCAGGGAGGCTGGGCAGAGAGTGCTTGGGGCCCCGGGAAGTGTCTGAGTCAGCGAACACCCACGTCGCGTCCTGCTGCAGCCGACCCAGGACCCTGGAGCCCACGATCACTACTCCTGCCTGCTCAGTTGTCACAGACAACCTAAAGGAACTGTGGATGCAGGGGTATAGGGCACCTTCAGAGTTGAGATCTTTATCCTGACTGTTTGCCCACCTGGCTAGGAATTTGGCTCAGAGCAGGCTTCACAGCCATGTAGAACTGTAATAAGAAAGGAGTCAGTGGTCACTTTGGTGATAAAGGTTCACACTTCCTGAGCACTGAACGTTGATTCCGAGTGCATGGCAAAATTGCTTGTGCCAAAACCTGGCCTGGTGCCGCAGGTGCTGTTCATTGCCCACATTAACATGGTGGATGGCACCTCGTTACTTTTCTGCAGGAGCCCCTGCGTTTATTACAGAGCTCAGCCCTGCCTCTAATGCAGGCTAGAAGGGAGTTGGGGTAAAACTTCCCAAATGTGTGAATTCCAGGAGTCTCCTGGGCCAAGTTTTATGCAAGGGGTTGAAGATTTACACCCACGCTGGGCAGGGCCTCCACTGAGCACCCACCTATGACAGATCTGCAGACACTCGGGTGGTCCTGGGTGCAGGGCGGAGTGTCAGGGTTGTGTTCATACTGGGGCCTAATGTCTGCGCCTCTTCCAGGTCTAGATGAACCAGAAGAAAAGCCAGTACCGGGTAAGATAGCCCCGGATGAGCAGGGAAGGCGTTGCCCCCTGGTGCTGGGACCAGGCACAGCAGAGATATGCCAACCGGAGCAGCCACTCTCCCGGGCCAGGGTCTGGCAGCTGTGTGCAGAGAGAGCAGGCGGGCCCAGAGCACGAGGCACCACACGGGCTTGATTAGCCAGGATGGGAGTGGAGAGATCATCCAGGCCATGGGGAGGAGGAGAACTAGGTGTGGGCTGGAGAGGCCAGGGGCTTCCCACAGGTGGTGCAGGGAGCTGGGCCCTGAGTCCCAGGGCTGTGCCAGGGGGTATGGTGAGACTCGGAGTCACACTGCTGGGAGACAGGGGTAGGGGGTAAGTCAGCTACCACCTGCTCCAATTTCCCACCAGATGTGCAAGAGCAGCTGGTGCCGCCCCGAATACTGGAGAGGTTCACCCCCAAAAAGGTGAAGAAGGGCTCCAGCATCACCTTCTCAGTCAAAGTTGAAGGTAAGGTTCCTAATAATAGGCTCCACTGGGGGGCCCAACTCCAGAAACCCCATGTCACTTCTGGAGATGCTGCCCTCACCTCCTGTCTGCTCACCCCGCAGGCCACCCCGCCCCGGCTGTGCACTGGCTGCGGGAGGAGGCTGCTCAGGGCGTGCTGTGGATTGGACCCGACACGCCGGGCTACACGGTGGCCAGCTCTGGGCAGAAGCACAGCCTGGTCTTGCTGGACGTGGGCCGGCAGCACCAGGGCACCTACACTTGCATCGCCACCAATGCTGCTGGCCAGGCGCTCTGCTCTGCAGGCCTGCATGTCTCTGGCTGTGAGTAGGATCTGCTTGTGGATGGGGATCAGCGGTAGCCCCTGGACCCCACACAGAGCCCTCTTATCTCTTCTTCTGTACCCCCCCCCCGGGGCTTTGTAAGAAGCAGAGGGAGACCCTAAAGCAGGTCAGAGCCCCATCTGTCTGAGGCACCTGAGAGCCATGCACAAGCCCCTCCTGACACTTGGGGCACCCTGAAAGTCCCTCTCCCGGTACTCATGAGCGCCTCTGTTGGCAAGTGACTCAAGGAGGTACCGACCTCTTTCCTGTCACGGTCTGCGTGACTGGCTGTGTGGCACAGCCTGAGGGGAGAGGCCAAGTCCCTCCTCAGGACTCTGGAGGCCCCTGGGGCAAATTGGCCTCGGCCAGGGCTATCTTGTGCTCACTGGGTCACTTCTCCTAACAGTGCCCAAGGAGACCAGGACAGCAGAACAGCAGGGGGGTGCAAAGGAGGCGCTCATCTCCACCTTCCTGCAGGGGTGAGTTGAGACCCCCACGGCCACGCAGGGCCAATGCCAGGGAGGCAGACACCCTGCATGTGAGAGTGGTGCTGCTGCCTTGAGAACTTCCCCTTGCTCCCTGTCTCATTGTACCTCAGTTTCCCTATCACAAAAGTATCATTCTCCAAGGCCCTTGACGTGTAAAACCCTCTGCCTGAGCTGTTCTGGACCTTTGCCCTCTGACTGGCTTTCTGTCAGAGCTCCTGCTTTCTGTCAGAGGTCAGGGTCATCTCAGGCCAATGACATCACTCCTGGCCCCCTTACTTTCTTTAGGACTCAAACCGTCTCCACGCAGCTGTCCGAATCTGTGGGATTTACCGACCTGATGGGACAGAGGAAAGGTATGGGCTGGTGGGCACATGCTGTGGAGTGAGAGACTGCTTGCTGGCCAGGCGGGTCCCTGCCCTGTCTTGTGGGTGCTGAGCCGACGCTCTGACAGGTGGCCGTGACCCCGCCAGGTCTGACCCTGATACCATCAAGGCTGACTGATCAATAGATGTGGCTGATAGTTCACACCTAGCAGACATTTGCTTTGTCTGGCTGTATGCTGGGTGGGAAGATGGCAGGGGAAAGCCCATGGGATGAGGTGGAGGGTGAGAGGCTGCTCCGTGTCCTTCTGTCCCCTCTAAGGATCAGCTGCCTCCAAGCATCTTCAGTGTTTTTAAACTTTATTATTATTATTTTAACTTTATTTTTGATGGAAAAGATTAAGCATTAACTGCAGAGAGGAGGGTCTGATGCCCTCCATGCACCCACCACCTAACCTGTTCCCTGATTTCTGCTCTGCCTGGGGCCACCCCGAGGCTCATCTTACCCCAGATCCCACCCTTACTGCCATCAAGTGGATTCTGACTCATAACAATGCTCCACTGGGTTTCCAGGCTATAAATCTTGGTGAGAGGAAACGAGCCATCTTTCTGCAGAGAAACAGACAGATGAGAAATGCCGACCTTTTGGTTAGCAGCCTAGCTCGTAACTCACAGTGCCACCAGGGCTTTGGGCCCATCCTAGACACCTCTCACCTCACTCTCAGCCCAAGCCCAGCAAGGAGTCCTGGCCCTGCCACCGGCCAGCTCCACGCCCCCTACTGTCCTCACCTTAGATGACAACAACCCTTCCCTCCTGCTGCTCAGGTCAAGGAGAAGGCGCACCCTCCTTGACTCCTGCAACCCCTAGTCCTGCTCATAGCACTCAGTCCTGTGCCTCTGAAGAAAGTGCTCTTTCTGAATCTGCCCCTAGTTGCTGAGACCGTGCACTTGCCTGGCCCCCACTCACCTCTGCCAGCCTCTTCCACCATGGCTCCTGCAGCCTCTGGCCCCATCTACAACTGGCAGAGCTTTTCTGCTCCAGGGGCCTGGACCCCACCAGGCTCTGTCCTCAGCTCTGTCTTGACTCCTCCATAACTACTGTCCCCCTGTCTGGAAACCCTGTGCTCAGCACTTGTGGGGACTCCCTCACAGTCACCCTCAGCCAGCAGAGCCCCTGGCTGTCCTCCCCGGCCCTGCTTCCTTATCACCTCTGTCTGTGAGGAGTTCTTTGCCCACGTTGCCCACCGGAAGGGGATGCTACTTGTCAGAGGTTGTTCCTCTTTGAGTCGCTGTCTGTGCTTTGAGAACAGGGTCAGATGCAGGGTGCTCAGTGCACATCACTGGTGAACACCTGGCTCAATGAAGGACTTGCACCCCTAGGAGAGCTGTCTGCAGCCGAGGAGGCCCGTGGACACCTCTCCCTCGCCGAGGTCGGCACGGAGGAGTTCCTGCAGAAGCTCACCTCCCAGATCACAGAGATGGTGTCGGCCAAAATCACCCAGGGTGAGCACTCAAGTTCTGGGGCTCCTGCAGTGAGCTGGCTGGGGCAGTGAGGCCACAGGCTCTCCCCCCTGCTCTGCAGACCTCTGTGCAGGGTGAGAGCTGTGTGCACCATGGCTGTCTGTAGAATCCCAGGCCCTCGCTGGGCTGTGATGTGTCCTTGTCCTCTTCCAGCCCGGCTGCAGGTGCCTGGAGGTGACAGTGATGAAGAGTCCAAGACCCCGTCCCCATCACCCCGGCATGGCCGTTCACGACCCTCCTCCAGCATCCAGGAGTCCTCTTCAGAATCAGAGGATGGTGATGCCCGTGGCGAGGTGGGCAGCCCTCAGCCGTGCACGGTCAGGGCCAGCCGGAGTAGCCCTTGGGAACCAGGGCAGAGGGAGGGCTGGGCTCAGCTGGGAGAAGGCTCAGGACTTTGAGGGACAGCAAGAGACTCGATTAGAACAGTCCTGGAGGAGCCCTTTATGGTGTTGGCTAGAACCTGATGTTTTGAAAAAAAATGTCTTTGGGCAAGTTAGGTGAAACTGCATCAGTGTTTAGAAGTGGGTCAAATTGATGACATGTAAGAGGTGACACATAAAAGTCCATCTCCAGTAAAATGCTGCAAGGTTGGTAAATCCTCCAAAATAGGAAGGTGAATTAGAAGGGTGTGTGGACCCCTTGTAAACACCAGCTCTGTGAAGTAACCAGTGCCTCACGGGACACAGTCCTAAGTGCAGCTAACGCAGTGCGTCCTGACGCATGCACACACCTGTGCACCTGATCACTCGGCCTGAGGCCTCCGCTCTATGCTTTGTGGTCACTTCCTCCTCCTACATCTCCAGCCCTTTTGCTTCCCCCCAGTAGAGCTCAGAGACACCCATGTCAGAACGACACAGAAACGGAATCACATGGAATTTCTGCTTTCTCTCTGTGTGATGGCTGTTGACCCATGAGCTCAAAGAGATATAAAGGAAACAAAACGGTGTTGCAGAGTTTCCCAGGAGAGCAGAGGACAGGACTCTTAAATGGGGCCAGAGACTCTGGGAGCTTTGTTACACAGCAGGCCTGAGTTTGACCTAGAATGTCAGTCCTAGTAAGCAGCTAGCAGTAATTCCATTGAAGCTGCTTGCTGATGAAAGAATTTGTTTTGTTTTCTTTGTTTATTCTGTCCTTTCTTCATGCAAACAATGCATCTGGTGTCTATTGTTTACCAGTGCATTGTATTAGGCCTAGAGAGGGTGTGTGTGTGTGTGTCTGTGTGTCTGTGTGTGTCTGTGTTAGGGAAGAGGAAACAGACAATAAATAAAATTCAAAGCTAGGCAGCCCTGGCCTGGGGATGGGGTGGAACAAAGGTCACCTAATATCCCTGCTGTTCTGTGGGAGTTGGGGGTGGCAGGACCAGCAGGTGTGCTGAATGTTCTGTAGACCAGCCCCTGCCATGCAGTTTGGGGCATCTGAGTACCCCGAGGATTATTGGGGCCTTGGAAGGTCTGATGAACCCTTTCTGGATTCTTCTGACTCCCCACCCAGATCTTTGACATCTACATGGCCACAGCCGACTACCTCCCACTGGGGGCAGAGCCAGGTGCCATCACGCTGAGGGAGGGACAGTACGTGGAGGTCCTGGACTCAGCACACCCGCTGCGCTGGCTCGTGCGCACCAAGCCCACCAAGTCCAGCCCTTCACGGCAGGGCTGGGTGTCTCCCGCCTATCTGGACAAGAGGCTTAAGGTAGTTGGGGGGCTGGGGTGGAGGTAGGGGAAGGAGGAAACCTGAGCCCCTGTTAGCTCTGCCCACCCTGTGACCCGTTCTGGTTCTCATCAGCTCTCGCCTGAGTGGGGTACTGCTGAGGCCCCCGAGTTCCCCCGAGAAGCCATGTCTGAAGATGAATATAAGATGAAGCTGAGGTGAGAGGAAGGATGGCTGGTGGGCAGGGGCTGGCACTTGCTTTCATCCACTCAGGCTCTGACTCTGGAGTGTCAGGGTCTTAACCGTAGTATTTTCTGGGACATCTCGTTTTCCTGTGGGAATTTGCCTCCTGATATGGAGCTGAGGTAGTCAGAGAGCAGTCTGGGGGCCTGGACCTGTTGCTGGCTCCTGAGTGTGGGCTCCTGATAACCAGGGCTGGGGCTGTTGGAGTTCTTGCTTCAGAATGTCACACTGGCAGAGGGTACTGGAGGGGAGGGCATGTGGGGCTGTCCCTCTCCACTAACTTGCCTCTCTCTGAAAATAGGTAGTAGGCAGTTGTTGTTGTTGTGTGCCATCAAGTCAGAACCGACCCATAGCTGGCCCTTTAGCAGGTTTTCAGAAGCAGTTAGTCAGACGGAAGATTGTGCATCCTTCTCCCATGGAGCACCGTGTGGATTGGAACTGCATGCGTTTGGAATTGCAGCACAACTTCTCATCACTAAGCTACCAGAGCTCCCTAGGTGGCAGGCTACGAGATTGAAATAGAAGGAGCTACCAAGTCCAAGCACCCATTTAGCAGTTGAGGAAACTAAGGCCCAGAGGAGGAAAGAACTTTGTGACATAGTGCCTAGTGCCAGGCTGAGATGAGGCCTCTCTCTGCCCCTCAGTTCTGTCATCCAGGACTTGCTGAGCTCCGAGCAGGACTTTGTGGGCATGCTGAAGTTCCTGCAGAGCCATCACATGCAGCACCTGGACCGCTGTCCCCAGGCGCCAGCTGCAGTGACCAGCCAGAAGGCGGTCATCTTCCGCAATGTGAAGGATATCAGCCACTTCCACAGCAGGTGGGCTGGGCTCTGTACATACAGGTGGGCGGGCACAGGGGTGGTCAGCTAGAGCAGGAGTGGAGGAAGGGAGGACCATGCAGTGGAGAGGCTGGCTTCATACAGGAGCATCTGTGCTACCTCAGTGCACTGATGAACACGCTTCAAGCCCAGATGTGCATGCAAACAGAAGCAGGAATGCATTCTTACAGGTGTCCTGCTGCACACCGCCCTGCACACATGTGGGCATGTGTGCCTGTGCGTTATATGTACATGTCCTCCTGCCGGTGCACACATGCATCCATACACATAAGATGCAGGTCTCCTAAACTGTACACCCATAGATATGTGTGCACATCTGCATGCACGCTCTCACATGTACACATGTACATATATATACACATGAAAACATACATCTGCTTAGGCACATGTTCACACTTATGTGTATATATGTATATATACATGCAAATGTATATAGACACACGTATACATATATACACACATACGCTTCTGTATAAATGTGAAAGCATGCATACACTTTTTTGCACACATGTATACACCAGAAATGCATGTGACTGTGCACATATACCTACATATATCACACACATATATGCATGCCATGTATGTGCACATTTACCTACAACCACAGATGCTTGCTGTATACATGTGTTTGCCTACACACACATACACACCCACACACATGTGCATGCATCCATACACATGTGCTTATATCTCTGGGTGTACACAGACATGTGCTCAAATAAACGTACCTGCAAACACGTGCTCACTTGCACACATGTGCCCTACAGCCCAGCACGCTGACTCTCATATTTCTCAAGGAACGACAGGAAATTAGTCCTTGGGCAGGGCTCTGCTTGATTCTTCCCCAAACAGAAGGGTCAGGGCTGGGTGGGTGAGCAGGGGGGAGGTGGTGGTTCTGGGTACCACTTGAGGCCCCTCTACCTTTACTAGGCCTGAGCCCCATCCCTGACTACAGCCCCTATTGTGCAGTTTCCTCCAGGAACTGCAGAAATGTGACACAGATGACGATGTGGCCATGTGTTTCATCAAGAACGAGGAGGCCTTTGAGCAGTACCTGGAGTTCCTGGTGGGCCGCGTGCAGGCTGAGTCCGTGGTTGTCAGCACAGCCATCCAGGAGTTCTACAAGGTGCCACCTGCCCCAAGTCTGGTGGGCTCCCAGCCCTGCCTGCTCTGCTTCCAGGCCTCCAGGGCCAGTTCTTGGCTTTCATCTGACCCCAGCCCTCTTGCGAGGCCCAGGCTAGACCGGTTGTCTGCTAAGCCTGTGTTCATCTCCAGTCCTCAGACTCCTTCATAGCCCTGCCTGGGTCCCTCAGACCCTATCGTCATGAGGAAACCGAACAAAGCCCACCCTCCAGATCTGTGCTCACCTGGCTGGTCACTTCTGTCTCAGCATGACACTTAACATTCGCCCCGTGTGGGTGATGAGTCCCACGGGTCCCGTTGATGGGTGACTCTTGGAGTTTGGCCTGTTAGCTCTCCAGAGTCTGCCTTTGTACAGCTACCTACTGCAGACCTGGGTAGTGGAGGGCAGCAGTATCCCCAGATCCTATCTTCATCCCTGCCTCCCAGTGCCCCACGCTGCACCAGGCTGGGTGAGTACAGTGGGCTCCTTGCAGGACTGTAAGCTCTTACCTTGAGACCTGCCCTATGATTTCAACAGAAATATGCTGAGGAGACGCTGTCTGCAGCAGACCCCTCCCAGCCTCCCCCTCCGCCGCTGCAGCACTACTTGGAGCAGCCCATCGAGCGGATCCAGCAGTACCAGACCCTCCTCAAGGTGTGCAGGGCCCCTCCACTGCCCATCCCTCAGCCTCACTCCTGTTTCAGGGCTCTGAGACCCCAGCCAGTGAACTCCCTGCTTGTCCCATGGCAGGACCTTATCCGGAACAAGGCCCGGAACAGGCAGAACTGCGCCCTGCTGGAGCAGGCCTACGCGGTGGTGTCAGCCCTGCCCCAGCGCGCAGAGAACAAGCTGCATGTGTCTCTCATGGAGAACTACCCAGGCACCCTGGAGGCCCTGGGCGAGCCCATCCGACAGGTGGGTCCATGCCCCTCTCTGCTTGCCAGGGTGCCAGAGCATATGTGTGGGGTGGCAGGGCTTTTATTCACCCCATGGTTTGGAGTTGCATCAGCCACATCTGACCACATCCCCAGGGCCACTTCATCGTATGGGAAGGGGCACCAGGGGCCAGAATGCCCTGGAAAGGCCACAACCGCCACGTCTTCCTCTTCCGCAACCACCTGGTGATCTGTAAGCCCAAGCGGGACTCTCGGACTGACACTTTCAGCTATGTCTTCAGGAACATGATGAAGGTTTGAGGGTTGTTGGGTGGTCGCCGGTCCATTCTGTAAATGGATACAGTGGGACCCTGCAGGGAGGGAGGACTGTGTCTTTTCCTGTCCGTGCAGAACCCTGGTTCTAAGGCGAGGATGGAGGCTGACACCAGTCCTGTGGCCACTGCCCTGGGGGGTGGCCTCAGAATAGCCTGTGGAGCTCAGGGGTTTGCCCTGTCTTCTACATGGGCAGAGTCCCAGATCTGGCAGCAGCCCCCAGGTCCTGTGGCCTGCAGGGGTCAGTGGGCTGCTAGAGCGGGAGTGAGGAGGTGTGAGTTGCCATGCTCTTGGCCCTTGGGAGCACACCTCTGCGTGGTCACATGCATCCCGTGAGCAGGGGCACATGCAGCACTGACCGCCCTCCTCTGATGCCCCCCTAGCTGAGTAGCATCGACCTGAATGACCAAGTGGAGGGTGACGATCGTGCCTTTGAGGTGTGGCACGAACGAGAGGACTCGGTGCGCAAGTACCTGCTGCAGGCGCGGACTGTCATCATCAAGAACTCGTGGGTGAAGGAGATCTGTGGCATCCAGCAGCGTCTTGCTCTGCCTGTCTGGCGTGAGTGCCTCCCGGGTTGAGGGTGGCCCCTCAAGGGTACCCTACTCACTGTCTGGCTTGGGTGCCACTTAGGCTGACGTGTCCCTGAGGCTAAGAGTCACACCCTTCATCAGCCAGACTTCTCAGCTGCCCCTCACCACAGGATGCTCACTGGCTTTGCTGGGCTGGTCCAGGCAATTTTATGTCTGTTCACTCAGAACAGCAGAAATCTCCAAAGCTAAGAGTTAGCTAACTGTGACAAGGAGAGAAAGATAAGACCCCTGGAGGGCCTTAAGTCACACACAGTGGGGCCAAGAGACAGGTGGTGTCCAGGGTGCTGTGGGCAGGGCCCTGGTGCAGCATTTAGAGGTGAGGACGCTGTGGTCTTCTTAGGCCCCTCGCTCTCCTGACAGTGACGAAGAAATGAAGAGCAACTCCGCCCTCAGCTAAATGGGAACACTTCCTTCCACAGTCCCCACCACTGCTCACCAACACCCAGTCTATTTCACTTAACCTTGGCCCCTTTTAGCCCTCAAGTGTGGAGCTCTGGGTGAGGAAACAGGCTGGTTGCTCTGACAGCTCTGTCCTCTGACATGGGGTTCTTTAAACAAGGAGGGTGGGCCTTGACAAAGGGATGAGTGGCCAACTTCCCAAGGTTTGCCTAGGCTCCATTCAGAGGCGCACACACAGGAGCCTGGACTCCCTGCCCCACAAATTTCTAGAGCCCCATGTGTGTCCTCAGGTCCCCCAGATTTTGAAGAAGAGCTGGCAGACTGCACAGCCGAGCTGGGAGAGACAGTCAAGCTAGCCTGCCGTGTGATGGGCACCCCCAAACCCATCGTCAGCTGGTACAAAGGTAAGCCCTGGGCTGGGGGATCCCAACCCCTGTGACAAAGTTCTCCAACTAAGATTGCTCCTTGCACAGGAAACAGGCCAGTATCGCGTACAGGTCGGGTCAGGGTGGGTCTGACGGAGCCCCCAGCCAAGCTGGCACCCTGCTCTGTTCCACACACTCTGTAATCAGAGACATCCTGTGAACAGAGCGCAGGTGGATGTAATGGTACAGAGGCTCCGGAGGGCTCAAGTGTGCAGGAGCGTTTTCATTCTTATGCAGACCCCACCTCCAATTGTCTTAGTTCACTCATTTACGAAATGCTCAGTGAGTATCCAGCACTGTTCTAGGTGCCGGAAAACAGCAGGAAACGGATATATCCAGTAGGGGTGACAGGAAACTCAGCGAAACAGTAAGCAGATGTGACTCTAAATGGCCATGACACCTATCAGGGGAAGGGACAGAATGATTAAGAGGCCAGCACAGGCCTCTCTAAGGTGAGCACACGTGTGGACATGGACTTAATGGCTGTCACCACTGTCTTATCCCAGGAAGTGTTTGAGGTTTTTTGATCACTATGTTTCCACCCTATCCTTGTTAACTTAGGGTTCATTGCACATTGAGTAGTGACCTCTGTGAATTTCCTGTATAATCAGAGGAATGTATAAATTTGCAGTCTTAGTTTACCTTGTTAACAGTTCCACTTCTATTTATATTATCAGGGATACTGAGAGCTTGACCAAGCATCTCGAAGGCAGCTGATGAAGGTCTTCATTGAAGCACTGTAGTGTCTGAGCCTGTTATCTTGTTTGATTCTGTTGAGGATGATGGTGGATATCATTTGTCATTTCTGTGACTGGTCACATGCGTTTAAAACCATCAGGATTATACATTTTAGGAAGATGATTATGTAATGTCTTCAAGTCAGTACTGAGTCACAGCTGACCGTCCAACGGGTTTTCAGAGGAGTAAATCACACAGGAGGAGACTGTCCATCTTTCTCTCACAGAGCAGCTGGTGGATTTGAACTTTGAGTCTGAGCACAACTCCTTACCACCTGGCCCTCCAGAGCTCCCCAGACATCATTTGGTGCTGTCATTTGTCAGTTCAATGACTACTCCCATAAAGACCACAAGATTAAACATTTTAGGAAGATGATTTTGAGGAACTTACACTTAGCTCACTCACTCACATTGCTGTCAAGTTGGAACCGAAGACCCTGGATGGGAAAGATTGATACAGTAACTATGGCAATGGGAGTTGGTGTGTGGAAATCAGTGAGATTGGCTCAGGACAGGGCAGGCTTCAGAGCTGCTGGCCATAGGGTCGTTATGTGTTGCAGGTGACTCGATGGCACTTCACGACAGCAACAATATTATTTCATACTAAAATTCTTTTAAAATCTCATAAATAAATTGCTAAAAATCTTAATTTGACTAAGAAGTATCATTCCTTTTAGTAATGTTGTTGTTGTTGTGTTGTTATGTACAACAGCTTCGAAGCCTGCCCGGTCCTAAGCCAGTCTCACTGACTCTGACACACCTAACCCCATTGCCCCAATTACTCTATCACTCCATCTCATCTGATGTCTTCCTCTCCTGTACTGTCCCTTCACCCTTCCAAGCCTGATGTCCTTCTCCAAAGAACACTTGCCCAAAGTATGTGAAATGGAGTGATTGCCAAGGAGAAACTTGGTTTCACCCTCTCCAAGACAGATCTGTTTGTTTTATTGGTGGTCCATGGTATTTTCAAGACTCTTCTCCAGCCCCACAGCTTGAAGGCATTGACTCTTCCTCTATCATCCTTAGTCACTGTCCAGCTCACTGATGCATAGCAAGTAATTGTGAACACCATGGCCTGGATGAGGTGCACCTTAGTCTCTGGATGGATATCATTGCTTCTCAGTACTCTGGAGAGGTCCAAAATATTAAAAACAAACAAACAAAAATACCATGAACATATTCATTAGCAGATTCAAATATAGATAGCCTTTTTGTGGAATGTAAAAAGAAAAGGTAAAAATAAATAAACTTGGTCCAGTGTGAAAAACAATGTATATGAACCTTTTATGTAAACCAGTATAAAATAATTTTTAAAAAAGTAAATAAACTTAAAGAATAATGACTATCCATAATTTAGAGAGTTCTAGAGGCCTAGTGTATAGAGAGCTGTGCTGCCAGCACAAAGGTGAGGAGTTCGAATTTACCAGCTCTGTGAAGGAGAAAGATGGGCAGTCTCCTCTGTGTGATTTACAACCTCTAAAAACTCACTAGTGGGCCAGCTAGGGGCTGGCTTCAACTCTACAGCAATGAGTGAGAGAGCCATCAAGAATTTAATGAAATTTAATAGTAGTTCCAGATTTTCATTTACCTAATTGTGTGAGTCTTGAAGCATTAAAAGAAGATTGAAGGAATGCACTGAGTAATTGTAACAAAAAGGGTTGGTTGACATTGAACCATTACAGGAAGTAGCATGTGATCAAGAAACAATGATACAAAGGAAGAAGTGTAAGCTTTACTGAAGGCACTAGCAAAAAATAAGACTCTAAGAATCGACAGATAACAACTGAGGTGTTTCAGCAAACAGATTTAGCCCTGGATATGCTCACTCATTTATATTGAGAAGTTTGGAAGACCTGGCTAACTGACAAGAACAGATCTGCATTTGTGCCGTTCCGCAAGTAGGTGATCCAGCAGATTGCAGAAACTATTGAATAACATCATTGATATCACATACAAGTAGAATAATATCACATACAAGTCAAATTTTTCTAAAGGTGGTAAAAAAAAATGCCTGGAACTGTACAATTGGCAGGAAGTTGCCAGAAATACAAGAAGAGACTCTGGCACAAGGATCTCATTGCTGATGCCAAATGAATCTTCACTGAGAGCAAAGATTACCAGAAAGATGTTTCCTTGTGTTTTACTGACTGTACAGAGACATTCAAATGTTTGGATCATAATAAATTATGGGTAATACTGTGTTCATTCAGTCAGTACCTGTGCATAGAAAACAAACAGTTATTTGAACAGAACAAGGAGACACTGCATAGTGTTTCAAGTCAGGGAAGGTGCACATCAGGGTTGAATCTTTTCACCAGAGCTATTCATTGTAGATGCTGAGAAAATAATATGAGAAGCTGGATTAAATGCAGAAGAATTTGACATCAGGATGGAAGACTCATTAACAATCTATATTCCACAAATGACAGTGCCTTGCATGCAGGAAGTGAAAAATACTTGAAGCACATACTGAAGAAAATAAAAACTACCACCTTCAATGTGGATTAGATCTCAACATTAAGAAAACTAAAACAGAAATTCACCAGTGGACTGATAGGCAGCATCAGGATATATAGAGAAAAGATCAGAGTTGTTAAGGATTTCGTTCTACTTGGATCCACAGTCAACACCATGGTAACAGCAGTTAAGGAACCAGAGGCCGTGTTGCATTGGATAAATGCACTCGCAAGCATGGTTTACAGACTTGCTTACAGAATATGGAGACGAATTGCATCACTTACTGATGAAGCTTAAAGACTGTCTATGACCTTTGTTATGGACTACACCGCCGCATAAAGAAAGATTCACTATGAATTGGAATTGATTTGGCCACCCCTTACAACAATAAGGCACAGCCAGCATTCATAGAGAGAGGCATGTGATGCTCAGATCCAAGAAGCACGGTCCTGCTGGCGCACTCATTGCACTGGTGACAGTGACTGCCTCCCAGCCTCATGGGACACACATCAGCCAGATGTACAGGCTGACAGTCCGCCCCTCACCCAGCCAAGTGTCATACAAGTGTCCCCAGGCTATCTGGTAAACCTCCAAGTTCTCAGTTCAGTCCAAAGAATTCAATCTAGTCCTTGTTTTTGGAGAGTACAATGGTTAAATCATGTGGCTACTAAACCAAAAGATCAGCAATTCAAACCTACCCACTGCTTTTTGGGAGAAAGATGTGGCAGTCTGCTTGATGAAGATTGACACTTGGAAACCTTAGGGGACAGTTCTCCTCCATCCTGTGAGGCGACCCTGTGTGGAATCAGCTCAAGGACAGTAGGGTTTTGTGGGTTGATTTTTGTCTTGAGGGCCCTGGGTTTGCTCTGTCTTGTTGTGCACGGCATCGGCAGACTGGCATCGTCCACCTCTGTAGTGACTGAGCCTGGCTCTGGAGAGGACACCCAGGGACGTCTTCTTTGAGACCTATAGGGGTGGAGTAGCCAGCAGATCCAGTAAGTGCCCAAATTGAAGGTATTTGCAGCATCTGGGGCAAAGCAAGCCAGGAGAACCACGAAAGTGTGAGACCATCCACCCTGAGGTGGCCCAGCACACTCAAGCAGACGCCCAGGATCTTCAGTCACTCCTGGGTACAGGGAGACCACTCACCCTCACAATTGTCCTTCTCATGAAGCACTTGAAGTCAAGGTAGAGGGCAGGATGTTGGGAAAATGTATGGAACAGTATGTATGGACTCAGACACAAAAGACCAAGGCATTTATATTCTTTGCCTTTTAAAAAAAATCTTTATTTTATATTGGTTTGCTTTATCCACGGTGGACAGTGTTTGGTGGAGCTCCCAGTTTAAGACAGGTTTGGAAGCAGGAGTGGCATCCACTTCCTAAACTACATGTCTCCAGAAACTGTATGAACTTTGATAAATGATGATAGTTATAGAAAGGCTTGAGGCCTTTTGTTCATAGAGTAACTATGAGTTGTGTTCGACTCGACGGCAATCAACAACAATTGTTTTGTTTACAAAGTTCATATAATTGTGTTTCACCCTGTTCTTCAGTCACATTGTGTTTCACACAATCATTCCCTTGTATTATGTTTATAAAAATTGATCACCGCTGGACTATACCCATCGTTACCTTGTCTTTTCAGGTCCCTGCCAGATCCTTCCCATTTCCTTCACCCCCTCCCTCCACCCACCAAATTGTGCAACCCTTTGGTTTTGCCCCTACCCTTCCTCACTCCTCTGCTCCCACTCCTTGTCCCCTTGGGTCCCTGTACATGTTTTATTAATGACCCTTCTATTTTTACCCTATTGGTCTTGTGCAATATTTGTCCTTATGAGACTGAGTTAGTTCACTCAGCATAATGCTCTCCAGTCTCTCCCAAGTTATGTAGTATTTTTCGAAATCATTGCTCCTAAGTACTGCATAGTATTCCATCATGTGAATGTACCACAGTTTCTCAATCCATTCAGTTGTGGTTGGACATTGGGGCTATTTCCATGTTCTTATGATGGTGAATAATGCTGCTATGAACGTTGATGTACAGATCTCCATTTGTGTTTCAGTTCTAATTTCCTTGGAGTGTGTTCCTAATAGTGGAATATCTGGGTCATACATATATTCATCCAGATTCTATTTTGAATCCCTTTTAGGTTCCCCTACTCAGCAGCTGCCATGGCTCCATTGGGATAGGGAGAAATCCAGTGCTGTGACTCATCTAGAGCCTTAAATCTAGCAGGAAGCTCATAACCCTCAGTACCTCCCTAGCTCAGCTTTGAGGGCCCTTGGTTTAACAGCCCCCCACCCCCCGACACTGCTTTCTGTGCAGTGGTGCGTTCTGTAATAACTTGTATGGAGGTTGTTGTTAGATGCCATTAAATCACTTATGACTCATCATGACCTTGTGAACAACAGACTTGAGTCCTGTCCTCTCCAACACCATCCTTGTCATCCCTGCACTCTCAAGCCCGTGGCTGCACTGTACCCATCTCGCTGAGGATCCTCCTTTCTTTTTCTGATCCTCCACCTTTCCAAGCATGATGTCTTTTCAATGAGTTCTGCCTTAACAAGGGACATCTACTGACCCTTGGTCATAATAACATCCGTAAATTCCTCACTAGCTTTTCATATGAAGAAGTTTAGCTGAAAGAGTCAGGACAGACTGTAAGAACATGGCTAGATTCCCTAGGGTGACTTTTATTCCTGTCAGCATTTTCCAGACTCACTCTGGGGCTGTAAAAGCTACATGTTAGTTGTGCCTCACTGTGGTTCCCCCTCAGGGGTTTGTCTTTCTCAGCCAAGAACCACTGCAGAACACTAGGAACGCAGTATAGTTAACATGTTTCTGCAACTGTGTTCCTTCATTTGGACAGCGCAGATCAGAACCTTCATTTGGTGCAGGACACATTTTTAGTATTTGTTGTTAAATTGAGGCCAACCTATTAGGCTGAGAGCTAGATTGCCATCCAGACCCCTGGGATCTGAGGAGAGAGCATTAAGCAGGTTTGTGTCTTTGAACCACTTGTCAGGATTCACAGTGCAATCATCAGCAATGGAATGAAGAACTATTCCATGCCCAGTTTACCATACAGTTTGCTCAACATGTCTGCTGTAAGTTCCCATAGACATCCCTCAGTTTCTGCTGGGTTCTCCCTGGGTCATCTCCTCCCTCTGACAGCAACCTTTTCTTATCACCTCATTATGAATCAGAAACTCAGAAAGACCTTAGATTCTCTTTTTTAAACTAGCAGATTAACCTGTAGCCATAACCAGACAGAAGACTCCTGACCCATGGGTAAGAGATAGAGAGGACCTATTACAACAAAAGCAGAAGCCAGAGCAGGTCTTATCTTGATTGCCGGCAAAGCAGTCCCTACAGCACAAGGCAACAAAGGCCAGCTGTCGCCTGCATACAGTGGATTGCCTCTAAGCTTTTCTAGGACTGCACACACATCTGCCCTTCTTTCTTTTCAAAGGTGGCGTATTATTAGGTGCCATCAAGCTGACTACGATTCATAGTAAACTTATGAACAACAGATTGAGACATTGCCCCATCTGGTGCTACCCTCACAGTCTCCACCATGCACAAGCCCATTGTTGCAGTCACTGTGTCAGTCTGTCTCACTGAAAGTCTTCCTCTCTTTCATTGACCCTCTGCCTTTCTCAGCATGATGCTTTTTTCCAAAGATTGACCCCTCCTGACAACATTCCCAAAGTATATGAGGCATAGTCTCACTATTCTTGACTCGAAGGAGCAGCCTAGTCATGTTCCCTCCAAAACTGACTTGTTTGTTCTCTGGCAGTTCATGGGCCGTCAATTCATACTCTTCCCAAATACCACAATTCAAAGTCACCAATTCTTCTTCAGTCTTCTTTATTGCACATGTATATGAAACAATTGAAAGTACCATGGCTTCAGTCAGGTACACTACAGTCTTTAAGCTGACACACTTTCTCTTTCAAACATAAAAGACATCCTCAACAGCAGATTTGCTCAGTGCAACAGACCTTTTGATTTCTTTCCTGCTGCTTCCATGCTGATTATGGGCCCAAGTAAAATGAAACTATTGACAATGCTGATCTTTTTCTCCGTCTTATCATGGTGCTGCCTGTTGGTCCAGTTGTGAGGCCTTTTGTTTCCTTGATGCTGAAATCCAATACATATTGAAGGCTGTAGTCTCTGAATGTCTTCAGCAAGTGCTTCCAGTCTTCTTCACTTTCTGTAGATAGAGAATTATTTCTTGTTCTGGAATGGAAGCAGATGCCTCCCAGGAAACAGTGGAAAAGGCTTTATCTTTACCACCCTAAGACAGTTCTAGGGAGGGAGACATCTCTTGCTTTATTACCCATGAATGTCTAGATAGAAACATTCTAAACTTGGCTGTAAGTGCTTTTTATTCAGGATCCAGATTGTGTAGGAATGTGAGGAGTGAGTTCCCACAATGAGATTATTATTGGTGGTGGTTGTGTGCCATCGAGTTGGAACTGGAGCTGACCCTCCAGCAGGTTTTTCAGAGGCAGTAAGTTGCATGGGAAGAGATTGTCCATCCTTCTCCCATGGAGCATCTGGTGGAATTGAACTACATGCCTTGGGGATTCTAGTGCAGATTCTTGCCATTAGGCCACCAGAGTTCTTCTGGTGAGATAGTGAGGTTAGAACTGAGATTTTTACCAGATCATCAATAGAGACCGTCATTGGTGGCCTTGACAAGCAAGAGCAAGTGGGAGTGGTGGTGGCAAAAGCCAGATGAGATTGGGTTTATAAGATCTCTTGCCATCAAATCAGGAAATGATTCTCAGTGAAGGAAGACTTCATTTTCCAGGGGTCTCAGAAGTCTGGGGAAGAGGGAAGTATGGGTCAGTGTGTTTCTCCCTCCATGGAATCAAAATCAGATCGCCAGGATGCATGCCAGGAAGGGTGCCCACAGCTTTCCCTGTACTGGCCAACCCTTCCCTCAGCAAGCTGCAATGGGCTCCCTGAACACTTCCAAAGGCTACCTACGTGGTAACCTCTTTGACTCTCACTTCTTATGATTCTGCAGCCTTCTTGGGTGCACTGTTTGTTGGAGGACACTTGCCTATCCCACCCTACTCTGTGACTCTTCCTATCCAGATGGGAAGTCAGTGGAAGTAGACCCTCACCACATCCTAATTGAAGACCCAGATGGCTCCTGCGCCCTCATCTTGGACAACCTGACCGGTGTGGACTCGGGCCAGTACATGTGCTTTGCAGCAAGTGCTGCTGGCAATGCCAGCACTTTGGGGAAGATCCTGGTGCAAGGTGAGCCCAGGGAAACCTTCCTGAGGTTCATCATGGGGTGGTGGGAGAGTCTGTTTTCAGTTAAATGGTGCTATGCTAACAGTATAAACAACATGATGGTCTCTTTTAATGAATGGAGCATACCAATGAGGCTAGCAGGGGTGTGAGAGCTCAGAGAATAGATGAGATAGTGGCACTGGACATCGGGGAATGGCCAGGGCACTTATTACTGGAGCTCACAGAGAAGTATTGGAGGGGTCAGAATTAGGGAGGGGCTTGTAGCCATCTGCCTCCCTGCTCTGGTGCTGCCCTGCATCCCATCCCTCCATCTTCCTCTTGGCCTGCAGTACCTCCACGATTTGTGAACAAAGTCCATGCTGCCCCCTTTGCGGAGGGAGAAGACGTCCAGTTCACTTGCACCATCGAAGGTGCCCCGTATCCTCAGATCAGGTGGGTGCCCTGAAACAACATCGGAGGGGGGGGAGTAGCGGGAGATGTGTTAGTCCGAGATGACTTGTGCTACCAGTTGGAGGCAAGATCAGTGCGTCTTTCCACTGAACATGGATGTCTGTTGCCAGCTCATTCCAGATATTGGAAGATTTGCCTTGGTCTGAGAAGAGCCTCAACCCTGGCAGTGGTTGGGGCTTCTAGAAAGAGTGGGCTCCTTAACACCTAGGGCTTACTTAGGTGTGTGTGTCTGTGGGAGTCAGTTTCCAGGTAAGGCCAGTTGAACATACTCTAGGAAGGAGTCTTGGGTTCAAGGCACAGTGAGGAGGTGGTGGGCTGGCCCATTCTCACAGGACCCCTCCGTTGTGTTCCAGATGGTACAAGGACGGGACTCTACTGACACCAGGCAACAAGTATCGGATGCTCAGTGAGCCACGCAGTGGTGTTCTGGTGCTGGACATTCAAGCCGCCAGCCAGGGCGACCTAGGCTACTATGAGTGTGAGGTGAGGGGGCCAGCGGGCAGATGGGGGAAAGGGCTGGAGGGTGCACTGGGCCACTCCAACTCCTCCTGAGGCTCTGGGGCTCCCAGCCCTGCCCTCCAGGTGTTGGTTCTCTGACAAAGAGTCTAGATGGACACCAGGTTCCATGACCTCCTGGGCCTTATACGCTCTCTGACCTGGCCTTTTCACTGCTGTTCCCCTTGCCAGGCCCTACTCAGTCAGGCCTCCCATGTCAGGCTGGCTACCCTTCACCCCTGTTCTATGATCACCTTTGATTTCAAGAGTATTTACTTGTTTTGTGTTATTTTGGAGCTCACATCATCTTGATTAGAAATTTCCTGATCCAGGCCATAGTCTTGGCAACTGCTTGCTCTGCGTCAGAGAGCTGAACAATGACTAGGGATGATAGAAAGAGAATTGATGCCTTTGAGCTGTGGTGCTGGAGAACAGTGTTGAATATACTATGGACTGCTAGGAGAGCAAATAGATTCATCCTGGAGAAGGTGAAACCAGGCTGCTCCTTGGAGGCAAGGATTCTGAAGCTTTGTCTGACATACTTTGGGCATGTTACAAGGAGGGACCGGTCCTTGGAGAGGGACATCATGCTTAGGAGGGTGGAGGAGCGGTGAAGGAGAGGAAGACCCTTGACGAGATGGATTGATTCAGTCACTGGGGCAGTGGGGGTAGGTGTGTCAGAGACAGTAAGGTTGGCACAGGATAGAGCAGGGTTTAGGGCTCTTGTACATAGGGGCACTATAAATAGCAAGTCACAAGCGACTCGATGACACATAACAATAACAACAGAAGTTAACCATCAGCATAAATATGCATTCCTTTGTGAGTTTTGAGCCTTTGTAGGCTATTTCAGTTATGTCTAGGCCAGAGGCTTCAGGCAGGAACCCATGGCCAAGTTCTCACTCAGGCTACAGTGACCCCTGGCCCACAGTGACCTTAATAATTAATAAGTATGTCATGGTTATAGGATGCGTGGAGAAGAGACTGTATATTCAATACTTTTCTCAGTTATCCTTGGTTGTTACCCCACAGTGGGGTTTCTGTGGACATCCGGGGCCATGATACTGGGAGAGGGGTTCAAGCAAAGTAAAATAACACTACCCGCATACAGCTATTTAAATGTGAAGCAAATCCCCACTACCATCAGGTGGATTCCAATTCATTGCAACCTTCCATCAGGTTTCCAAGCCTGTAAAGCTTTACAAGAAGAAATTGTCATCTTTCTCCCAGGCAGCAGCTGGTGTATGTGATCTGCTGACTTTTCAGTTAGTAGTTCAACACTTCGTGCACTGTGCCACCAGCTCCTTTACATCTGAACCTGTTCAATTAAGGCAAATGTTAAGTTCCTGACTGCATCATTCCCATGCTTAGAGGCACATGTAGAAAAAGACTGCTGCGTCTGATGAGTGTGTAGAGAGACTCCCAGCCTTTCGTGAGCCCCACTGAAAACAGTACTGAATTCCCATGTTGATGCAGCAGCCGGGCCTGTCCGTTGTGGGCCAGCCTGTGTCCCCGTGCCTTCTCCTGGACTCTGGGGCTCTCTCCAGGAGGACTGTGTGGCAGAAGGGTGACCAGGTCACCAGTTCCTCCTACCCTGTGAGCCATCTGCGTCCTCTCTGCCTTCTGCAGCTGGTGAACCGGCTGGGCTCGGCCCGTGGTGGTGCGGAGTTGTACATGCAGAGCCCAGCACTGCAGGCCCGTGAGCAGCGCCGCAAGGAGCAGCTCGTCGCTGTGGAAGGTAGGCGTTTTGAGGGACAACCAGAGCTGGACGCTTGGGAGTTTGGGTGGTAGCCAGGTGGGGTGTGGTACCATCTGCCTGGAGGAAGGCCTTTGCTGCCAGCCTGTGAGGTAGGAAACTGGACCAGCATGCTCAGATGAGGTCCCTTATCTTCCAGGCAGCACACATGGACTGCCAGAGGGTGAACCTGGGCAAGGGCTGGATAACCAGATTCCGGGCAGTCAGGGGTCTCTAAGCCATGTTGCCGTCTCTGGGTAAATGACAGATATGCATAAAGATACTGGGCAGGACAGGTCCAGCCCCATGGGAATGTGGCAGATGAGATGAGTGTTAGGAGACCAAAAGGCCAGTATGTGCTCCCGCCAAGTACAGTAAACAAGGCTGCTAAGTCCTGGCATGGTTCCTCGCTGGGTGTCATGGGCCAGATGTCTGCTCCGTGAAGGGTTAGACTAGCCATGAAGCTGCCTCTCTGAGGCTGTCCTTAGGGTCCTGACAAGGGATCAAGTTGCAGAAGGAACTTTATTAGGAACAGAAGTGCTCCTGGCAGCAAGCGAGTAGGGCATAGGATCTCACTTGCTCACTCACACCAGGGCTTCAGGGTCCCTGGTACTGGCGGCCCACGGGGGAGCAGACATCTGTCCTGAGCTTGCTCAGCCTGGTAGATGAACTTCCCCTGCAGTGGGCTGTCTGGTTGGAGTGAGCTTTCTATCTCTGAGAATGTGCAAGCAGACATGGAACTGAGGCCCAGGGAGCTACAACTCCAAAGCATGGACTTTTGGAATACATGTTTTTCAAGTCTTGAGAGACTTTGATCTTATAAGGACCTTGGGGCACCAAGGCCCTGTGTGCAGGAGTTCCAGGTCCCTCACAGAGAATCTTCCCTCCCTGAGCCAGGGGCCTTCTTGCATACCCCACTGGGAGGCACCAGGGTCTCGTGATCCCATTTTTTTACTTGTCATCACTCCCATGACTGAGCTGTGGCTCTCGGGGTCCTGGTGATGCCAGTTAGCCTTATACCCTGATGACCTAGCATCATCCAGACATACTTGGACTCGTGGCACTTCTGCCACCAGTGTGTCGCTTGTCTGTGTTGACATTGGGTACAGTCTTCAGCTGGGGCACCTGTCTGCTTCTCTCTCCTTCCGATCGTTAAGCGTATCTACCACAATGTCATTTGGCTCATTTTGTCTTAATTTCTTTTTGTAACAATGTTCCATGGCTGTGGGACAGGGAGGGGCCTCAAGGCTGGAGAGCTGTCCAGCATGGTGGCACTGGATGTCCCGGCCACCAAGGAGCAGGCCTTAGGGCCCACCTAGCCGGACCTGGTGCGGAAGCCTCAGTGCGGAGAGAAGGCCCTGGAGTCGGAGTCACCTCTTGCTTCCTAACTCCTATGCTGCCGCTTAATCTTTAACCTGCCGGTTGAGCAACCAGAGCAGGCCCTGACTGGCCCTTTGCGGGGCTTCCCCTCGCTTGTGACCTGCACTTGCAGGAGCCCTGCTTTGCACAGCTGCACCCCGCCTATGGTTATAAACACTTAGTTGGGGTCGAGAGCCAGTCAGGTGGCAGCTTAGGTACGTGGACAAAGGTGTCCCAGAAGTGTAGCAGCCTGCATCTTTCTGAGCAACCCTCCAAGCCCTTGGCCTATAGTCCCCCAAGATCAAGGAGGAATCTCTGGCTTGTTCCAGAGAGAGGTGAACAGGCTGGCTCTGCATCTGTTTTCTTTACTCCTGTGCTAATGTTCCTCCTGTGGCGGTTGGCCTACACATTCCCGCAAACTTCTACGCACGTGTACAAGCACACATGCGCATATCCACTTACACACTCCACCATTTATTCTTATGCATATACAAGTATACACATGCATGCAGTCACCTTAGTAAAAGTAGCTTAAATGTATATACAGACATCCAATTATTGTTGTTATGCTCTGTCAAAATGACTAACACTCATAGCAACTCTATAAACAACAGACTTGAACCATCCTTACAGGCTGTGATATACTCAAGCCCATTGTTACAGTCACTGTATCAATCCATCTTGTCCTTCTTTTTTGCCGAACCTCCGCCATGATACCCTTTTTTCAAGGACTGGCCCCTTCTAACAACATTCCCAAAATATGTTGCCTCCAAGGTGCACCCTGTCACACTTTATCCAAGACATATTTGCTTATTATCTTGGCAGCCATGGGATATTCAGTACTCCTCTCCAACACCACAACTCAAAGGTGCCTGTTCTCCTGTCACCCTAAGTCACTGTCCAACTCTCTGATGCAGAGCAAGTGATTGAAAAGATCATGGCTTAAGTGGAGCATACACTTAGTACATTTATTTTTTGTGAACCTTATTGGAGGCAGTTTCCAAATACACTTGCTTGTGTAAGGACAACAATTTCACATAAGTAAGTTAAAAAGGCCTCCAGACCGGGAGCCAGCAGGCTGTGTGCCTCAACCCGTATCACTTGAATTTTCTGAGCCTTCCTCTTAGCTTGCCCCTCAGAGTGGTGAGAGGCGTCCTGAGTTGTAGTCCTGGTAGCTTGTGCACGGCCCACGGCCCATCTGTGCAAGGACAGGAGGCGCCATATATGTGCCTAAGACAGACCATGACTGGGAACCACAGGGGAAGGGGCCATAGATGATGGGAAGGCTCCAGATTGGTACGTTACATCTCCAACACTCAGGGCCCTCATTTGTAAAATGGGAAGAGTCCACATCATGTTCTCTCCGGGAATCTTTTGGAAAGAAAAGAGGCAGTTGAATTTATGAGAGCATGGGACAGGGTGCTTCAATGGGAAGACCGAAGTTGCCTTGCATATTCATAACTCAGGACCATTTGGGAACCCACTAGAGCTGTTCCCAGAAGGACGCTGGGGCCTCCTGTCAGAGTTCATATGTGTCATGTCTGAGACCCCAGAGCCCCTCTCCCATTTTTTATTTAGAATATTCTTCTAAAAGATCTATAATCTACCCAGTGTGATTCATTTGCAGCCGCAGTCATTCGTCCTCTTCTCTGGGCCTCAGTTTCTGTGTCTGAGAAGTGGAACCATGCGTCTGATACACTTACAGGTTTCCCAGGGCACACAAACCAAATAAATAGCTGGGACTCCTGTGTGAGCAGTCTAGGAAAGGCTTTCACTCTCATTTCTTCAGCCTCTGCAAGAACGGAGGGTCCTATAGTCACATGTGACATGTTTTGAGTCATAGCTCCTCATTCCCCAGCCATTCAGGGGAGGATTCACCACTTCCACTTCCAAGATGAAACTGGGGCTCCACACTAAGGCAGTCTTCCCAGGAGCACATGGGCAGGCAGGGCTTGGACTCAGGGCTCTGGACCCTGGACAGAGTAGTCCTGTGTTGAACAAGCTACTTAATTGCTACAGCGCCATGCCACTCAGATAGTTGAGAATGCGAATGCTAGCTGATCTGTAACCCTCGCTGTTCCGACTGTTTTCTTTGTAGTCACTGAGCAGGAGACTAAAGTCCCCAAGAAAACCGTCATCATGTAAGTGCAGGCGTGTTCCTAACCTTCCTTCTGACTGCAGTGCCCCTTGCATGCCTACTAACTCACATGGACCCTGCCTGCGTGGCCCAGCCGTCTGCTTGCGTGACTGCCTGCCCTCACGGCCTCTGCTCATCATGCACACCACCAGCGCCTTGCAGATCCTCACAGGGGATCTAACTTCCGTGACTGTCTTCACAGTTCACCAGCTTCTCTTCCAGCATCTCAGTTGCTTAGCCACAGCTAGGATTCACACAGTCACACAATGATCTGGGCCCAGGAGATGCTTCTGTCAGTTGGTTAGAGTAAAATTCTGCCCTCCATGACCCGAGGATATAGGAAGATGTTGTCTGAGAGAACTTTGGGGAATGATGACAGTGTCTCCGGAGGCACTGTTCTCTACAGCAGCCAGCAGCCACACAGGTGGGAATGTGCTCGCTGGAACCAAGGAACTGAATGTTACGTTTTATTTAAATTTTATGGAATGGATAGAACAACTCTAGGGATCTTAGGCATCTCCACACCCAACTCTAATATTAGTAATATGGGAAACTGCTTTCTCCGCCTATTACCTCCCCGGAGAGAGGAAAGGAAACTTGCTCAAGGTGATTCGGGCCTGGCTGGAGAGACGAAACAGGAGAGTGATTCCCCAATGCCACGCCCACTGCCCTTCAGTCCCCTCAAGGAAAATCCCCCTGTGTTGTTAATTAGGTAACATAAGGAGGCCTAGGTGAGCTCACGCTTTGGTTTTGACCTAGTAAATCTGGTAGGACCTCCAGATGGAGGTTTATGTAGAGGGAGGCAGGAAAGTGAGCAGTCAGGAAGGACTGATTTCCACATGACGAGGCTATTCCAGGAAGGGACCTCTCTTAGATCTTCATGGTCTAACACTTCTGAAGAGGCCTGAAGGTGGGCATGTTTGTGGGGATCCTTGTCTTCAGACAATGTGGGGAGAGCCTGGGTTTAAACCTTCCTTGGAATTCTTCCCTTCTCCTGAACCAGATCGGTTCTGTGGTATCTCCCCACAGTGCATGGGGCTTCCTAGGATAGCACTGAGCACTTAACACCGGGGGATATGCAACCATGTCATATTTAACCCACGAGGAAGGCATTGCTACCCACATTGTATGGATGAGGAACAGATCAAAGATGGGCTGGGAAACCCCATAAGGCAAAATTTAGGGAAAACTTAATGGAGAGTTGGATCAATAATTCATGAGGCATCCTGAAGTGCAGTCTTCTCTGGGCTTAGGAAGAAGATCTTCCTCACCTGAAAAAATAGAAGATGCCCTCTTGGCTTTAGGGATGGACAACAGTGATGGGCCAGACACAGCATCCTCCCAAAGGCACACCACACAAACAGGGGTGCTGGGGAGCCACTGGGTACTTAGGGCATGAACAGATACCTCTACCACATGACCATTACCATCTTCTTATTGTACAAGTACCCTGGGTATAAGATACCTGTGTGCCCTCACTGGGGGCGGTGATGTACTTATAGAGAGTATCATACTGAAGGAATGTTCTAGCTTCCCGCTGACCTCACTCACTGTCTTCCACTGGCAGATCCAGATGGGTATTGGCCAAGGCCTCCCTGATGCTCAGGTGGGCTCTGGCCCACGGACAAGCCTCATGCTTGAGCTGTGATGTGAGGCTGGATGGCAAGCCCAAGGCCCTAGGTCATCCTGTCTGAGTCTCTCAGCTTCCCTATCACTTAAGTGGCTGTAGCATCTGCCCCTGCAGATGAGGGATGGAAGAGTAGAACTTGTAATTCCAAGAGAAGTCCACATGACCCTCAGTCTAATTACTTGTAGCACTAGCTTTGAGTTAGACAAAAAAGCAACTAAAGAACAAAGAGCCAGCACTTCAGACACCACACAAATGCTGGCCCCTCTGCTTGAGCCTGCATACATTGGAACCTCGATGGCAAGGTCAGGGCTCTAAGTGCCAGGGATAACGCTGGCAGGTGTCTGACTGTAACATCGAGCAAGTTCCTTATAGCCTCTTGTCTACATTGGTACAAGAGAGCACATCCACCTTCTAGGGCCACAGTGAGGCCATATGAGAGCCTTTGGAGTCCCTGGCACACACCCCGTGGACACCAAGTGCTGGATTCTTCCTCTTTTCCTCTCCTCCTCCCTCTGGGTAAATAAGAAAATGGGGCCCAGGGAGGGAAGCATTTATCCGAGGTCACACAACTCATAGCAGCTGTCATGTCCAAGAGCCAAATGTCCAGGTTAGGGATCCCCTTAAAGCCTTTCTGGGGCTGCTTGGGGATTCTCCATCCTTACCATTCCCAGAGACAGAGACATGAAGCATGGACTGCAGGTCTTCCTGGTCTGAGATGTAACCTCAGCATGCTCTCTGAGCACCAATTGCACACAGGCACTGCCCTCTGAGAACACAAAGCCCACTGGATGAGACTGGGTGAAGGGAGTCTTGTGACTGTGTATCTCCAGGCTCTCTCTTCAGCTTCTCCTTTATTGAACCTGTTCTCAACCCTTCTCCACTAGCTTAAAAAGAGATAGTGGGAAATAGGTAGGGGAAACTGGTTGGTTCTGGGGTTTGGAGACACTTGCCTATTCAGCATGGGCCTCACTGGATTGCCAGGCCTCGTGAATCTTGCACACCAGAGCCTGAGGTAGGCCCAGCAAGACTTTATGTTTTGCTTCTTTAGCTCTCTGGCTGGCTGCCTTCAGGCTGGACTCTAGTGCATGTGTAGGTGTTTCTTCATGTAATCTTACTTTTCACTCATATACTAAGCTGAATTCCCATGCAAACCGTGCATGTGCAAATGCTTGGGCTGGATGCAATTGCCATGTCTTTGTGCCAATCCCTCTTGGGCCCTCTCCCTGCAGAGAGGAGACTATCACCACTGTGGTGAAGAGCCCCCGTGGCCGGCGACGGTCTCCCAGCAAGTCTCCTTCTCGATCGCCTTCCCGCCGCTCTGCCAGCCCATCGAGGCTGGTCATGTTGACCCCTGAGTTGCGGTACTCACCAGGAGTCAGCCAGCCCCCCAGGCCTGAGGTGGAACCAGGTCGGAAGCACACTGTCCCAACATTGTATGTGACAGAGGTTGAGGCCCCCTCTCCAGCCCCAGTTGGCAGTCCTGAACAGACACCCAAGTGGGTAGAGGTGGAGGAGACCATAGAAGTCCGTGTAAAGAAGACAGGCACCCGGGGCCCGTCTCCATCCAGAGAGACCAACTCAGCAGGAATCGTCTTCACACTGCCAAGCCTGGCACCAGGAGGGGACCCTAACACCAACAACTCCAACAATAAGCTGCTGGCCGAGGAGCCACAAGCCCAGAGCAGAGCTGCGGGCGTGTTGTCAAGGCCAGGGGCCCCACCAGTGGTCTGCATTGGTGAGCCCTTTGTCTTCTGTGTGGATGTGGACACCAAGGGCAATGTAGACTGGACCACTCCGGGTCCAGGCAGCCCCCAGACAGAGACCGAGGCACCCTGTGAGCTTTCTGCTCCCTGGGCTGCTGAAGAGAGGCCAGAGGTGACCCTTGAGGGGGAGAGCCTAATGGAAGAGGGAGATGAAGGAGGCCCTTGCATAATTGAAGAACCCCAGGACACCTCAGGCTTTGGGGAAAGGGACCCCAAAATTCTCACACACCATGGCCACCCACTGACCCTGGCCGACCTTGAAGACTATGTGCCTCAGGAAGGAGAAACATTTGGCTGTGTCAGCCCGGAAACCGCCACCACCAATGCTGGCCCACCCTGTGAGGTCTCCGTGCTCCAGACCGAGATAAATGAGCCCACCGTAGGGCGACCTGTCCTGCTGCCTGTGGGTCACCCACCTGGTTCCCGCAGCCCACCTCGCTTCTTTAGCCACACCCCTCAACCTTGTTCCAGCGAGCTGCCTCTGCTGGGGACCCAGACCTGTGACCCAGCTGAAGTCTCTTTCTGTGTGCAAGGGGCCTGGCCTGGAAAGACGTCCTTCTGCAGCCAGGTGCAGCACACTGTGGATAGTGGCGAGAGCAGCTTCAAGACGAAGCTTTCTACCCAGACGGTCAGCTTTGGGACAGTGGGTGAGACTGTCACCCTGCATATCCACCCAGATGGCGAGGCCCCCACCTCCTCCCAGAGCTGAAGTAGTAAACGTCGGGGGCTTAATGGGCTGGAGCTAGGGACAAAGGATGTGGCTCTGTAGGAATCATAAGACTGGACAGCTGAGACCAGCCCCATCTGAGCCAGCCCCGTCCTCGCAGGCAGCCACAGTGCATGTTCCTGTCCCTTTGCTGCATCATTCCACAGAACAGCAGGGAGAAGTCCTTAGACCCTGCCCTGCACCAGCACTAGGCCCTGGAAGCCCCCAGACTCGCCTCAGATGCTGGACTCAGGAGAGGCTGGGAATCCCACACCCTCCTCTTCTCTTCAACAATGATGATGGAACTTGAATGCCTTGACCCTTCCTACCTCACAGACCTTAACTGTCAACTGAACAAATACGTGCGAGGGTCTGCACGCTCTGAGTGTGCAAGAGAGGAGCCCCTTGAGAGAAAGGGTGCCCAGCAGGGCCGCCTAGGGGCACACAAGGCCTGATGTTCCTGGCGCTCGGCTCCAGGAGCCTCACCTCTCCCCCAGTTTATAGAGAGCCCTATGTCCTAGGCTTGAGGGCTTGGCCTTGCAGAAGAACGTTTTTTTGGAACACCACAGCCTGAGTGTGGCCCCAGCATCTGCACTCTCTACAGAGATGGAGATGAGGGTCTGTGCAGAGGGAGGGAGCTGGTCACAAAGCACGCACCAATTGCCTTTGAATAAATGGGTTACATTTATTGCCTCTGCTCTGTTCCTTCTCACTCCTCGACCTAGTTTCATCTGCTGAGTAAAGCTTCTCCAGTAACTTGGGTGGGCAGAGGATACACGGATTCCGCTTCTGCATTGTAGGCTTGGGTCCTGCTGAGACCAAAGGTTCGCATTGAGTTGGCACACCTGTACCCTTCCTGCCATTTGTGTAACACTCCCAGATGGGGCAGGGAACCTGTTAGTTCTTCCCTAGTTCCAGTGCGGTCTGTAGGGGCCAGAAAGTCAGGGCATATAGTCAGAAAGAGGCAGATATCCAGCCACTGCCCTCCCTCAGGATCCTTCAGATGTTTGTAAAGATTCTAATCCAGCCAGTCCACGAGGGGCCATTGACCATGACTCATCATAAGACCATGCAAAGTGACCACCATCGATCATTCACAGCCTTCCAGCTGATCGCCCCCAACTCTCCTGCATAACCATTCCCTGTCAAGGCAGATGGATTGTCTTTAAGATGAGACCTCTTGTCACATCTTGCCCCGTAGCTACCAGACACAGAGACCCATAGGGACCTGGAGCAATGTCCCCACAGGCCCCTGGCAGCCTGAGACCACTACCAGCCCCCATCATGTTTCCACCCATGAGTCTAGCCCCAGGGTCCTGAGTACCTCCTTAGAGCTGGGGCCGAGAAAATGGAGCCCTTCCCAGAACAAAAGATGAATGTGAGATGAAACACTAGAGGGTCATCTGCCAGCTGAAAGATGTATGAACATGACTGTGAATCACTGGGAGCCGGAGAGGGCTCAACCCTTCCTGAAAGAGCTCAGCTTCTGCTGGTAACTGCATACAGAGAGTGAGACAGGGCTGCTGGAGGTGGGCCCTGGCCACGGAGGGAAGGAAGTGGACTTCACCCATATCCAGAGACGGTGTGCCAGGCCACAGGGATTGAGTGAGGGACCCAGGTGACAGGAAGGTTGTATATGAAGGATCAGGTGGGTGTCAGGTATGTGTGGACTAAAGCTGCAAGGTGAGCCTGCTACCTCCCAGGTAAGGTCAACATAGCTGGTCCCTGTTTCTGCATGATGGAGCTGAGTCCCACTATGTCCCCCTCGGTTGTGTGGCTAAGCACTGGCAGTCTGGAATCTGTCTCCATGGGACTCCTATTTAGGTAGGATGAGTGGTGGACTGATGTCTAAGACCTGGCTGCTCACTGGTGAAGCAGGTGCCACTACTGTGGCACTCAGGTGCCAGCCAGGTCTTGGAGTTCTAAGACAAGCTACGTGCTACACTTGAGATGGGCTGAGGCTGCAGCTGGGCACATGGTATGGTCACCCCTACCCAGGTTGCCAGTCAGAGAAGACAGCTGCGTTAGTGACATCCGCTTCCAGAAATGGTCGTTCAGGCCTGCCTTTCACTCTCAATGATCTGTGCTCCAAGCAATGTGGGTTTGTTTGTTTGTTTCTTTATTTGTTTGTTTGAGTCATGAGAGAGAGAATGGATGAACCTTGAGTGGGTGGACAAGGCCCATGTGGTCTCAAGGACTGTGAACACCCTCAGGCAGGTTGGGTGAGTGTCTCCTGCTACCCCCACCCCCTGCAGGCTAACCAGGCCTTTCCCACAGATGCCGCTCTGCCGTCCCCAGCTACCCTGGAGGACACTGTCCACCTGGAGGATTCCGTCCGAGCATCCTTGAAGCGAGCTGACCAGGAGATCCAGTCGGCCCTGCGGAGACTGGGTGGCCCTGAGGCTCCAGGCTCTTCTGCAGAAGCCTGCAGTCCTGGAAGCTCCCTGCTCACAGGCCCCACAGCCAGGGAGGCACCTGAAGTGCAGGAGGCTGGACTCTTACCTCCAGGCGCAGGAGCCACGGAGGCATCTGGTGAGGACTTGCTCCCCAGCTTCCTGACCCCCACTTTCTCCCCAGTGCTGCTGCTGACACGGCACACTACCATGGGGGCTTCCTGTGGGCATGAAGTGCGCCTGCCTCAGGGGCTGCCCCTGTGGAACACTGGCAGCATCAGTTCATCCCCTCCACGCTTCTCAGTTCACCATCTGTAAAATGAGACACCAGGCTATATTTTTTTAAGGTTGTTCATCTTGAATATCTGCCCTAGGGAGCCAGACCCTCCTGTGGTTGTAGGAGCCTTGGTGGGTGAGGAGGAGCTGGAGAGAAAACTGAGACTATGCTGTGTCGACCCTGCTCCAACCTTCCTGCCACTGCTTCCTGACTCGAAGGGTCTCAGAAAACCCTTTATATGTGGAAGTTCTCCTACTGGAGGGCATTTTAGAGAGTTCCCCGGGCTTCAGTGGTACATGAGGATTCTGGGGGCCCAAATGGGAAGAGCCCTGCCCCAGGCCCCTCTGCCCAATGCAGTCAGAAATGTGAGGATTAGAGCCAGGTGGCTAATCCTGCCTCCAGGCAGAGGCTGTGGGGAAGCTGAGGTTCTCTGCACTCCTACCTGGTGGTCAGCACCACTTGTGTAGGTGGTACTAGAGCTGCCAGGGCTGACATAAGGCCAGGGAGCTGACCGGAGTCCGCCCAGCCCATCTTCAGATTCATTCTCTCCTCTCCGCCTCCATTCCGTTCTCTGTGCATCGGCCTAGCTCTCCACATCTAGCTTCTGTCCCCTCCATGTTCTCCCTCTAGTCCTGGGAGGCTAACACTCTGCAGGGTGCCTGCCCCTCTCTCCATGTCTGGCCATGCCCTTAACCCTGAAAGCCCCACTGTGGTTCCAGCTCTCAACACCCCTCCATCAGGTTTCCGAGGCTGTAATCTCGGTGGGAGGAGACTGGCCATCCTCCTCCTGAGAAGCCCTGGTGGATTCCAATGAGGACAGCACCTCACGCTGCATACACACTGTGCGGTGTGAGCGCTTTAGTTTCCTTAAATCACCTTCCAGTGCGGGTCACACTATGCACCTTTGAAGGCCCTGAGGCCTGGTCATTTTTTCTGTTGACTGTGAAGAAAGTCCCATTTTTGGCTGAGGAGCTGGACAAGGTCAGGATAAGTCTGGAGACTAGGTCAGGTCTCAGGGATGTGATGTTCCCTCCATGTCTCCCAAGCTCAGCTTTCCTGAGCCTAAGTGGGACCACATACTCCATGCTGTCTCCTTAATTTGACAGGACCTGGGGCCAGGAGTGCCCCCTGCAGCATTCCTGTGCTAATGAATAGGCTGACTCCATCACTGGCTCCCCTGACTGCCTGCCTCAGGCCCCAGCGCTGTGGGTCATCTAACCTCCCTGCTGGGCATGCTCATCACAGTGGCCAGAGGGGGTGCTATCTTAGTTTCCTATTTGTTACAGTTACCCTCACTGACCAGGCCTGATATCAATCTGTGTCTGTGCCAGAGATGAGAGGCTAGAGGAAGGCACAGACACCTTGAGTCAGGAGACAGGGCTACGTGCACAGGCACCAGCCCGGCACCTCACTTCCATCCCCACTCTGCACAGCTGGACTTTTGGATTTTGGAAGGACGCCTTCACTCACCCTCACTGAACACACACAGGCCCAGCCGCCTACACTGTGACACTGTGGTGTGGACAAGGCAGAGGTTGCATGATGTCCAGCCTGTTTTGCTGATTCAGGGTCACTGTCAGCCTCGATTGATGCTGTATCTCCCAAAAGTCCTCCCAGGACCTGACTGGGCACCATGCCCCCTCCCACCCACACATTAATTCACATCCACCCAGCCCAGGTAGGATTTCCAGGCCTGCTTGTTCAGTAGGCGTGCGGTCACATCTAACCTCATGTGTGTAGTCTCTGTGATGTGCCTCATCCTGGAGCACTGTGCTAGGGTCCAGGGCAGATTCCCTACCAGGTCCTGAAGGCAGAGAAGGACAAGCAGTAAGTAGCCAAGCGAGGCTTACTATGCAGTGTTCTGAGCTGCAGACTCGAGGCATCTGTGTTGAATATTCAACCTCAGGTCCTGCACACATCACTTGTTCATTCATTAAAAACCTAGTACTCCTTGGTGCTGAGCACAGCACCTCGACCATATGGCCTGGGTCTTGGTGGTCTAGCCTTCCAAGGCAGTCACTGTCTGGAGGGCAGGGGCTGCTGCAAGCTGGTTCTCGGGGACATCAGAACTGCATAGGGGGGTGCCCCTGATGGGCATCCTCACCCGATCCTTACAAAAAAATTCAGTGTTCCTGGAACCTGTTGTGTACCCCTATCTTCACCTGGCCCCAACCTGACGTTATCCACGGGCACCTTTCTTCCAAGATTGAGCCTCACTTAGCCCCATGTCTCCCATCAGCCAAGATCCACAGTGAGGCCCGTGCGACGGCACAGTCCCATCCTGGGGCAGGCTTGGAGCAGGAGATGGCAGCAGGCTCTGGCGCCCAAGAACGAACGGTCCCTATTCGGTAACTATCCCATTGTGCGGGAAGGGTGTGTCTCATGGTGGGGCAGCACAGAGTGTGGCCTCCTGTCACTGAAGGTGCATGGTAGGTAAGGCAGGCCGACACTCACCCTGCCTGCAGGGCTCTGGACCTCAGGGGTGAACAGGATGATGCTTGCCAGCCCCTTTCTTTGAGCCAGAAGGCAGGGCAGTGGGGAGGGGCTGCCCTCTTAGATGAGCGGGCTGTTGGGAGAATCTCATCTTCATTATTTGTGACCACAGGATAGAGGGCGTAGGCTGGCCTGGAACAGGGGCAGCAGAGACCCTGTGGGATGCCCACAGCCACGTGTTCGTGGAGACCACCCACAGGACCTATGTGTATCAAGCCAGCGACACTGGTGTCACAAGTACGGAGAATGGGCCCAGCGGGGGGGGGGATCTCGGGGATCTTTGCCCAGAGGGGCCCACATGGTCCTCCATTGTGTCCCAGCCTGGGTCCTCTCCACTGTGATCTGGGTTTCATGGGGTCCTCTGTCCCTGGTCCATCACTGTGTTGGCCAGACTTCTTTGCTGTGGCTAGGAGGTCACTGACAAGTTGGCACATGGGGAAAACATGGACTTGACCACATGGGGACATTTCCCCAACAGTCCAAAGTCAGCTGGGACATTCTGCCATTGTATTTCTAGCAGTGAGTCGATGCTCTGGATGAGCTGTGATGGCCTTGCTGGGCTCTGGGCTCACAGACTCCCTCTCGGTCCAGGGCCACCATCCATGCAGGTCACCATTGAGGACGTGCAGGCGCTGAGCGGTGGCACGGCTCAGTTCCAGGCTATCATTGAAGGCACCCCCCAGCCCACTGTGACCTGGTACAAGGTAGGGGCGGGATTTCTTGGCTCTAGAGGGCAGGGTGGGCCCAGAACCCTTCATCCAGAATTTCCCTCTCGGGACAGACAGTGGTGAGCACGTAGCAGGTACTGGGAGATCCACTTGTGTGAAGAAAGGCAAGAATAGGGTCTAGGACTTGGGGCTCCTGGGCCCTTGGGTGGGGTATTGGCCTCTCTGACTCCTGAGCCCCCAGGACAATACCCGGCTGGAGGACAGTCCACGGCTTAGCCAGCAGCAGGATGGGACCACATATTCCTTGGTGCTGCGGGACGTGGCCGAGCATGATGCTGGTGTGTACACCTGCCTGGCCAGAAATGCCAGCGGTGAAGTGTTGTGCAAGGCAGAGCTGCTGGTCCTCAGGGGTGAGTCAGGCTGAGCCCAGCCGCATCTGTCCAGAGAGGGCCCTTGTATGTGGGGAGGGAGGACCACTCGGTTGGCCAGCAGAGACCAGACTTTGACGTCTGCCCACATGGACGATCTCCTTGCCTTGTTTATAGGAGAAAGTGAGCCAGAATCAGAAAGGCCGAGTAGTCGGAGGAAGTTGCATTCTTTCTATGAGGTCCAGGAGGAGATCGGCAGGTATGACCCTGTCCTCTGGTGTTAGGAGTGGCCTGAGCCCCAGCACGGAAAACCACCATGAGCTTCTTTCCACCAGGGGCGTGTTTGGCTTCGTGAAGAGAGTTCAGCACAAGGGGAACAAGATGTCCTGTGCTGCCAAATTCATCCCCCTGAGGAGTAAGACAAGGGCCCAGGCGTACCAGGAGCGGGACATCCTCGCCACCCTCAGCCATCCACTCATCACCAAGCTGCTGGACCAGTTTGAGACCCGGAAGACCCTGATCCTCATTCTGGAGCTGTATCCTGCCCTCAGGCCTCTAGAACATGGGGAGGGGTGTGTTAGGGTCGACAGGGTGTGACAAGGCCAGAGTCCAGCCCTATTCTGCAGGAGTTGCATGTGCTCCTTGGTCACTCTGACCACAGCCTGGGTGTGCAAAACCCTCTGCCGCTAATCTGACCCCAGCCACAGTCTTAGACTTCATGAGTCTGTGGGCGGGAATTTGGGCAGGGCTCAGCGGGCCAGTTCTGCCCCACGTGGAGTTTGCTGGAGCCGCTTCCTGGTGTTCAACTGGCAACAACTGTGTTGGCTGGAAGGACTGAAAACAGCTTCAAGCTTCAGGCTCTACCTTGGTAGGGATGGCTTATAGGCCTCTCTCCATGACTCCTGTACCACCTACAGGGCAACACAGTTCTGAGGCCCTGGGTTCTAGAGCTCGGAGTGCATGCTGCCAGACTCCAGGGCCTGGGAGTTTGTGCTGCGTGCCTCGCTTTCTCCTGATCCCTCACCTAGGTTCAAGGAAGGGCACAAACACTCCACGCTTACCCCACCATCCTTGGTTGGGCCCCTCCCAGTCACTCACAACCATATCAGTGTCATTGAATGAGCTCACTCTCCTGTCAGCTTAAGCCCCATTTGGCCCCTCCCAAAGCAGCCTCTGCTGGATACTGAGTTGGATTTCATTTCATGATCCTCCCCCAACCCAGTAGCCCCCCAGCTCCCAGTTTACCTTCAGGTGCTCACTGTGGTCCTGTGGTGCTCCTCCCCACCTCCTTGTTCCCTGAGTTCCGCCAGAGCCCCTCACTCAACCCAGTGGCCTCCAGTCCACACCATAAAGTAAGACCTCCCCTGGTCCCTCTTGCCTCGCTGTGACTCAAATATCTGGAGCAGGCAGGCTTCAGCCCCAGTATTCTTCTTGACTGGGGCTCAGATGTTCATCAGAGGAGTTACTGGACCGTCTGTTCAAGAAGAGCGTGGTGACAGAAGCTGAGGTAATTGTCCCACTGGCTCAGATGGCCTGTCTCTGCAGACACAGCATGACCTCAGCCTTAGACCTATGTCCAACAAAGCCACATCTAAGGCAGTATCCTCTCTAGCTCAAAGACGGCACCTCCTCCAGGCCTAAGGGGTTGTCACAGCCCCTCAGCCAGGTCCTCAAACTTCCCATTCTCTGACCACTCATCTTCCCACTTTTATACCGAACCGGAGCCAGTCTTTTCACCTGTTTGCCACCCTAGTCGTCTTCTGGCTGTCCTCCTGAGAACACACATGGACTCTTCTCATGTCCCAGGACTTGGCTCAGCCTGTCCCAGTCCAGAGGGATCCATTTGAGGCTGTACACACAGAATCCCACATTAACTTGCCTTGTAGGACTTGTCCTGGGCTCTGAGCCTGAAGGGGAGAAGTGGGTGTGTTTGATGTGGAAGGAGTTGCAGGGAGCAGGGCTGGGAGTGAGTTGGTAGTTGGGGAGGGCTGGACCAGATCTCATCTTGAGTTTGGGGGCTTCCCCACAGGTGAAGATCTACATCCAGCAGCTGGTAGAGGGGCTGCAGTACCTGCATACCAGTGGCATCCTCCACCTGGACATAAAGGTGCCTGGCTGTGTACCCCTGTGTGAACAAAGGGGCCTCCTCCAGTGTCCCTAAAAAAAACATGTCCACCTCCAAAGCTCCTGTGGGTGGGGTGGAGCTCTGACTCAGGGATGCTCCCATTAAAGCTTCCCCTGGGGCTCCTGCCACTCCGCCGGCCTCGTGGTCTGAGGTGACGATGCCCCCTCTGCCCGAGTGTCCTAGTGCAGGCTCAGTCGTCCACTCACTCCCCCACCTCTGCTGACAGCCTGCCAACATCCTCATGGTGCACCCTGCTCAGGAGGACATCAAAATCTGTGACTTTGGCTTTGCCCAAAAAATTACACCATCTGAGCCACAGTACAGCAAATATGGCTCTCCGGAGTTTGTGCCCCCCGAGGTCATCGAGCAGACCCCTGTGAGCGAGGGATCCGACATCTGGTGAGTGAGGTCCAGGATGGACAGGTCTCCCATCTCCCCAAACCCATGGTCCCCAATGTCACTAGCCCCCCCCCTTTCCACACCAGAGACAGAGAGGGGCTCAGTCGCTGCTTGGAACCCAGCCACGGCTCCCAGTCCTCCCATGTGCACCCTTCCCCACCCCTGGTTTGCAAGGCGAGCCTGGGTGACTTAGTTTGTGGTTTGCTTCCTCACAGGGCCATGGGAGTCATCTCCTACCTCTGGTAAGCAGCCCTGGTGTCATCCTATCACTTCTGATAGCTCAACCCAGACCCGTCCCTAGGAGGCCCCTGGAGTCATGCCCACGCAGGCTGGCGTCCCAGCCAGATTAGAGACCCCCGGCACCGTGGGCTGGCTGCTATCTTGGGAACAGGCAGTCGTGCCAACTCTGATAAGAAATAACTGCTGAGGTTTTCTCACATGCACCCTGTCATGAGAAGCAGCTTTGCCAGGTCATGAGGCAGAAAACTGTGCTTTTCCAAAAGGGTTTTGAGTGATTTGTTAGGCGAGGTCACTCAGCAATGGCCGCTGCCTGGAGGAGCTCCAGTGGCACAGATGTGTCTGGGTCTTCACTGCAGGCTGACCCCTGCTCCTCACCCCAGGCTGAACTTTGGCCCACTTTACTTAATGCGGCGCTTGCTGGGCAAATCTGAGACACTTGCTGGCATTCTCAGGGTTTGGATGAAAGCTCACGGGTTTGCTAAGAGCTCACACGCAAGAGGGTTGAGACCCCTAACCCCCAACAGCTCTGCCTGAGAGAACCAGCACTCTGACCTAGAGATCTCTCTCACATGGACACAAGAACCCAGGTCCCCTCTGGACAGACCCCTCTCCCCCCGCCTTTCAGCCTGACCTGCTCATCACCGTTTGCGGGTGAGAGTGACCGTGCCACTCTGCTGAACGTTCAGGAAGGACGGGTGTCCTGGAGCAGCCCTGTGGCTGCCCACCTCAGTGAGGATGCCAAGGATTTCATCAAGGCCACCCTGCAGAGGGCCCCAGAGTGAGTGCCCACTCATCCCATCATCCGTGTGTCCTGCTTGGCCCAGCTCTAGGGTTGGCTGGCCAGCCCCTGGTCTGACCCTCATGCTTGCTTCTCATCCTAGGGCCCGGCCCAGGGCCTCCCAGTGCCTCACTCACCCTTGGTTCCTGGTGAGTAGACTGAACTGCCCCAGGTCGTTCAAAGAGGGAAACAATGTGGGCTGGTGCCTAGAGGATTTGCCATCAGTGGATCATTGTAATGGCTGCTGGGACCTCTAGACTGGAGCAGAGGGCTTCAGTGCCTCCCCTTAATCTCACCCCAGCATGACTGGCTCAAGGAGGCAGGCTCAGGGGCTCCCATGCATTAGAACTAAATTGGAAGCCTCAGTCAGGGAAAGGCTATGGAGCCATCATAACCAGTGACAAGCCCCCTCCACTTGCACATGATTGCAGAGCTGGGCTGATCTGCTCCAGCTGGGCTTCCATCTTGGGAGGGACCCTGGCTTGGTGCCCACAGCCAGGCTCTAGGTCTCTCCCGATCTGACCCCTCTCTTCCTTGCCTGCAGAAGTCCCTGCCTGCAGAGGAGGCCCATTTCATCAACACCAAGCAGCTTAAGTTCCTCCTGGCCCGGAGCCGCTGGCAGGTGGGTGTGTGTCTCACAATGCTGAGAGGGAGCTATTGGCGTGGGGGTGCAAGGCTTATGGGGGAGACCCAAGCCCAAGACCACTTATGGTCCAGTAGGATCCTTCAGGACTATTTCTTGAGTGCTGGGCATGAGGTTAGTGTCCTTCTTCCAGGCCCTGCTGCACAGGCCACAGGACAGGTCTCAAACACTCAGGGAGAAGGAAGGGCTGGTGGCAGGAGGTACATGCACAATCACAGCCACAGGGGCCCCAGGACAATAGAGGGCATGCAGGAAAGAACAGGAGGAATGTTGGAGAGAGCATGGTGCTCCTTGTTCCGCCCCTGGCACCACTGGAGCCCTGAGCTCTGACATCCCCCCTGCTGCTCCCCAGCGCTCCCTGATGTGCTACAAGTCCATCCTGGTGATGCGCTCCATCCCTGAGCTTCTCCAGGGCCCCCCTGACAGCCCATCCCTCGGGGTCTCGCGCCACCTGCTCCGAGATGCCAGCGGCTCTTCCAGCAGCTCCTCCTCGGACAACGAGATTGCGCCATACGCCCGTGCCAAGTCACTGCCACCCTCCCCTGTGTCCCACTCCCCGCTCCTGCACCCCAGGGGCTTCCTGCGGCCCTCTTCCAGCCTCCCTGAGGAGGCTGAGGTCTGCATGGCACCTGAAGGCCCCTCTCTGCCTGTGGTAAAACCTGTGGCCCAGGAGGGCCAAGAAGTGGTTGCCGGGGCCCAGGGTGGCGTGCCACCGGCCTCCCCAGGCTTTGTTCCCCGCCAGAGCATCATACGGAGCCTGTTCTACCAGCAGGCAGAGGAAGGCTCAGAGCGCGGCTCCTCACCTTCAGCCATGGGCAGCAGAAAGCACCTGGCGAGGGCCCGCCGGCACCTGCTGAAGGGGGGTTACATTGCTAGGGCCATGCCCGGCCTGCGAGAGCCCCTGCTGGAGCACCGTGCACTGGAGGAGGAGGCTGCCAGGGAGGAGCAGGCCGCCCTGATGACCAAGACACCCTCGTTTGAGTCAGCCCTCAGGCTGCCCAGCTCCACACCCCACATGGCCCCTGGTCGCAGCCGCTCCCTGGATCAAGATCGGCCACGTACCACCAGCCCCTTCCCTGAGGAGCAGGAGAAGACACCTGAGACCTGCCTTGAAGGGCAGTGTCCACACCCGGGATCCCAGGGACTTGGGAAAGTCTCAGAGGACTGCTCTGCACAGGGTTCAGGCCCCTCTCTGCTTAAGGGGCCCACAGCACTGGCCACCCTGCATCTTGGGGCCCGGCCCCCAGGCTCCACAGCCCCTGCCCAGGCAGCCCCAGGCATGGCACCAGGCTCTGAAGAGGGATCAAAACTGTCTCCATCCACAGACGGCACCACAGGCCCAAGGGTTTTACAAGACAGTCCTTGGAAGCAGCCTTCTTTTCACTTTGACTGGGGTTCTGTTCCCCAAGAGGGCTGTGAGGCCTCTGAAGCTGCTGCACAACAGCTTTCAAACTCCTTCCAGCCCCGATCTCACGCAGCCGGCTTCCAGGAACCAAGAAGCCCATCCTTCCCAGGGGAACCCCAGGCCGTCCCCACCCCAGCCCAAGCCAGTCCTGTACCAGGCTCTAAGGAATGTTCTATAGGGCCCGCCTTACAGGAAGGCCTGTCCCCCAAGGAGGCCGTGCCACCCTCCCCTGCGGACACAGAGCCTGGAGCCTTCCTGGATACAGAGGACTTATCCCAGGAGACCACTCAGCAGCGGCCTCAGGAGCAGGCCACCACTCGGAAGTTCTCCCTGGGGTGCCGCGGGGGCTATGCAGGGGTGGCGGGCTACGGCGCCTTTGCCTTTGGTGGGGATGCAGGGGGTATGCTGGGGCAGGGTCCCATGTGGGCCAGGATGGCCTGGGCCCAGTCTCAATCCTCAGAGGAACAGGAAGACATAGTGGCCGAGAGCCCACTGCCCCCAGCTGGTGCTGTTCTCATGCCCAAGGGGAGCAGGCCTTCTCAGAAGGGCTCCCCAGAGTTTACCTCGTGGGAGGACTTCGGCCAGGGCTCTCAGGTCTCCCTGGTGCAGATCAAGGACCTCTCAGGCGATGCAGAGGCAGCTGACACCCTGTCCCTAGACATCTCCGAGGTGGAGCCAGCCTACCTCAACCTCTCTGACCTGTATGACATCAAGTACCTCCCATTCGAGTTCATGATCTTCAGGAAGGTCCCCAAACCGCCTGTGGAGCAGGAGTCACCCTCCACTCCAGAGGAGGACCAGGAGGGGCTGGAAGAGCTCCCAGAGGCGGCGTGGTCCTGGCTGAGCGAGCTGGGCGGCCCTGCCGGCCTGGCTGTCCACCCTCGAGTTGGCCTGCAGATCACTGAGGAGGAGCCAGAGGACATGGAGGCCCTGCTGGGGGAGGCTGCCCTGGGCCGGAAGCGGAAGGCATCGCCCTCCTCACGGAGCTTCTTCCAGCTCTCTGGGGGGTGCCTGCCACTGGAAGAGCCCACAGAACACAGCCTGCGCAAGAGGGTGAAGGCCTCGGTGGCCCACATCTCCCGGATCCTGACAGGCAGGCCAGAAGGTGACTCTTTAGGCTTTACTGAGCATGTCCAGTTCCTCACCCCTGGGGTCACCTTGACCTCTCACCCCTACTCAGAGTCCTGCCCAGTCCCATCAGGAAGCCCTCTGTGTGCTCCCTCATCCTCTGAACCCTTTGCTCATGGTCCTGAGATGCAGCCCTGGGATTTAACAGCATGTGAGAGGCCTGGACACAGATATAGATTCTTTGCTGGGGTGGGGGCATTCAGAACTGACACCTGCCCCCTGCAGCCAGCGTGTCTAGTGAGATCTTGGTCCAGGGCCGTGACCCCAAGCTAGACACCTTCACTCATTCCCAAAGGTGGTCCCGGCCTAGGATGGGCCCTAGCAACCAGGTGTGAAGGGGTGAGGGATCAGTAGCAACAGATTTAGCTCCAATTTTCAATATAACTCTTGGGTTTTTGCTTGGTGTGTAGAAGCATGAGGCGTAGCAGACAGGGTTATATAGGGTCCAGGGTTTGTTACTGCCCACAGCTCCAGGTAGTGGGACGCAGCTAGTGCTGCTTAGAGGAAAGTGAGTACATGGGCCAAGACCTACATGGACACCTCTTTCCCCCTACAGATCCAGAGAAGGAGGGCATCTCCAAGAAAAGATCAGGTCTGGCCTCCTTACGGCTGAAGAGCAGGGACCGAGGTGAGAGCCCTGACCAGGGCTTCAATCTTCTCTCAGTTTCAGGAGGACCTGGTTATGGGGAGGTGGGCAGGGGGGAAACAGTGGCCTCCAACGTCCATGGCACACACATCAGTAGGACAAACTTCTAACCCTGGACTGGACTGAAGGCTCAGTAGCCGCAGTGTGGAGGAGTAGAGCAGTCCCCAAGGGCTTCCTGGAGGAGGTGGCAGTATTGAGATGAATTCTGGACCAGAGAGTGGTGAAGGATGAGTTAGGAGAGAGCAGCGTCCCAGCAGGGCCTGTACTACCAGCTCCAGCCACACGGCCCAGGCCTTTGATGACACTGTGCCTTGGTGAGACATCTCTTGAGCTGCTTTCTTACTCTCCCTTTCAGCCCCATCATTTCTAAAGGAGCTCTCGGATGAGACCGTGGTCCTGGGCCAGTCCGTGACACTTGCCTGCCAGGTGTCAGCCCAGCCCGCTGCACAGGCCAGCTGGTGTAAAGGTAAGAGCTCACCTGAGGGCAAAGCTCAGAGCTGAGAGAGTCACAGGCCAAGTGTGGGCCCAGCAGAGCGTCTGACTGGCCATGTGGCTAGGTGTGTTGGTGAAGGCAGCTACCAGGTGCACCCCTCAATTCGTCCTTTGGCAGATGGGGTACCCCTGGAGAGCAGTGGCCGGCTTCTCATCTCCTCCACTCTCAAGAATTTCCAGCTTCTGACCATCCTGGTGGTGACAGCCGAGGACCTGGGTGTGTACACCTGCAGTGTGAGCAATGTGCTGGGCACAGCAGCCACCACAGGCGTGCTCCGGAAGGCAGGTGCGTGCACCACTCAGGCCCCCTTGGCAGGGGTGACGCAGCGGTCGGGGAAGGGAGAGTTTGGCGGTGATGCCACTATCTTCTCCCTGGGATCTCTGCCTGGGCCTGGGACCTCGTCACATTACTCTGTGAGTCTCCAGGGCAGGTGTGGTCCTGGAAAGCACAGCCCCCAGTGTGGTATCCCCCAGTTCTGACAGGGCCACGGGCTGTAAGCTGACTATTGTGACCTATGATGACTCTGTCAAGTGTCCCCACAAGATGGTGGGCACTGACCCCCTCTTGCCTGGAACCCCACTCATCCTCATTACACATAAGATGTTAAATACTTCAAAGAACACCACACAGCAAAGTGAGAGATACAAAAAATGTTAAGACGGGGAAATGTTCATTGGGAACAAGAGGTGGAGCTGGAGGCCGAAGGTGGGGAGGACGAGCAGAAGGGAGGTTCCACAGATGCACAGAGAACCCCTCTATGGCTAAATCCTCACATTCAGAAAAAAAGGAGAGAAAAGGGAGACAGAGAGACAAAGACAGAGAGAGAGATGGAGGGACAGAGAAAGAGATTGAGGGAGGAGAGAGGGAGGGAGGACAGGGCCCCTTCTACCTAGAACACTGGCGCAAAGCCTGATGGTTCCATTGTCCAGACGGGAAGTGCGCCTGTTGTCAGAATCGAGCTTTCCCAAGCACTTGATTCCACCACTCCTTCCTACGGCTGTTTCTCAGCCACATTCCTCCAGCAGATACACACAGAAGATTCTGCTTGCTTTGTCTCTCTGTTGAAGTTAATACTATGATCTCCAAACAAAGTTCCCAGGAGATTTGGGGAGCTAGAACCAGACATGGGGCCCTGCCTTCAGGCTCTCGGTACAGAGTCTGCACAAGCCTCTTCGTACTTGGTCTGCATGTCCCAGGCCAGACCCCCTATCTTGACGATCTTGAGGAAGGTCATGGCAATGGAGGTTCCTGGACAGACCCCTGGAGAGCCCCCAATCTGGACAAGCCCCCTGAAGCAGGCTTTGGGAGATGCTGGGCCATCTGACAGTTCACACTGCAACCCACACCCACCCACTGCTGGCGAGTTGAGTCTACCTCCCAGGGACCCTCTAGGACAGGACAGCGCTGCCCCAGAGAGTTTCCATGGACTGACAGAACCAAGTGCAGACATAGGGCTTCTTGGAGGCAAAGATAATGAAGCTTTGTCGCACATACTTCAGGCACGTTGTTAGGAGAGGCTCTTCATTGGAGAGGGACACCATGCTTAGGAAGGTGGAGGGATGGTGAAAGAGAGGAGGACCCTCAACCAGGTGGACTGACACGATGACTGCAGCAATGGGCTCAAGTTTGTCAGAGACCATGAGGATGGCAGGGTTCAGCTCTGTTGTTCACAGCATCGCTATGAGTCATACTTGACAGCACCTTACAACGTAGGGGTTTCCAAGGCCAGACATCTGTATAGAAGCAAACTGCTTCCTCTTTCTCCAGTGAAGTGACTGGTGGATTCAGACCTTTTGGTTAGTAGCCAAACACTTAACCACTGCACCACCAGAGCTCTTCACATTGCATCAATATACACCCTACCCCCATCCCAGTGGCCAAGACCAGAGGACAGTGTGCTGGAGAGCCCGGGCAGCAGCCACCAGGCATGAATGGGACTGGACAGCCTGGCAGAGGAGCTATGACATGCAGAAGGCTCATAGTTGACTCAGGTAGTCATTTGGAGATAATTGCGTCTCAGAGCTGCTTCCCACCTCCACCCCTACAGAGCTCCCCTCATCCTCTCCACGCCCAGACATCGGAGAGGTATATGCAGATGGGGTGCTGCTGGTATGGAAGCCTGTGGAGACTTGTGGCCCCGTGACCTACATTGTGCAGTGCTGCTTGGAAGGTAGGTACCTCTCTGCTGGTCCAGCTCTGAGGGGCTTTCTAAGGTTCCAGTGGGGGTGGTCAAGGATACACCCAGTTGACTGTACGCCCTGGAGCCCCTGTCCTCACCATTCCATTAGTGGAACTCTTACTCCTTCCTTCCTGTGTGCTCCAGGTGGAAGCTGGATCACTCTGGCCACTGACATATTTGACTGCTGCTACCTAACCAGCAGGCTCCCGCGGGCCGGCACGTATACGTTCCGGACAGCCTGTGTCAGCAAGGCGGGCATGGGCCCCTACAGTAGCCCCTCGGAGCAGGTCCTCCTCGGGGGGCCCAACCATGTAGGTGAGGCTCCTGTTCTGGCCTCAGAGCTGCCTCGCTGACTTTGTCTCTCAGATAAAGCCCCTTTTGGCCTTTATGTGGGCAGCACTCTGGTACTCCTCACTGTCCACATCCTGCTACCGAGAACAAAATTAGTTCACTGGCAGATTTATGCTGAGCTCCCCATTGCGGTGCTGGGGATTCAGGGTGTCTGGTATCACCCCTCATGGTGTTTGTTTGTTTGTTTGTTTGTTTTGCCTGCTATGCCCCACTCATGTGGTCTGAAGAATTAGGGATACAAGTGTGTGTTCCGTGAGTTTAAAGGGGTGGGAGTATGACATGTCGGAGTGTCCAGGAGGATGCTGGGGCCGGCTAGAGTATGGTCCCTGAGCCTCTCAATCACCCCGCTCCTCTTTCTACAGGTTCTGAGGAAGAGAGTGGCCATGCACAGCCAGCTCAGCCCCTCTCAAGCACACAGACCTTCGCCTTCCAGACGCAGATCCGGAGGTACTGAGGCCGGGGCAGGCGGGCAGGGACAGGCACCCACCCTACCTTAGCCTCCCTCTCCACAGTTTACTCCCAATGCATCTGGTTCATAGCGTGTCCCATACACGTCTCCTCCTCCCTGACCACTGATTCCACCCTTGGAAGGTTCTGCACCTCCTTCTGAATGTACCCTGTTTGGTTCCACGTTTCCCCTGCTGCTCTGTGTGGGGGAGGGGAAGAGGGTGACAGGGTGGCTGCATGGGGAGGAGACGCATGAGCCTGGCTGAGGCTTCCCCTTGCCCAGGGGCCGCTTCAGTGTGGTACGGCAGTGCCGGGAGAAGGCCAGTGGGCGCGCGCTGGCAGCCAAGATCATCCCCTACCGCATGGAGGACAAGACAGCTGTACTGGGAGAATATGAGGCCCTCAAGGGTCTGCGCCACCCGCACCTAGTGCAGCTGCACGGGGCCTACCTCAGCCCACGGCACCTGGTGCTCATCCTGGAGCTGTGTTCTGGACCAGAGCTGCTCCCCTGCCTGGCCGAGAGGTGAGGGCAGAGGCTCAGACCAGCTGGAAATGCCCACAGCACCCTCTGCCCTACCCAAGCCCCCAGGCGCCAGGCAATCTCAACGGTCCTGGCTCCTGGGTACTCCTCTGGCCTCCTCCCCATTCTGCATCCCAGAACCTGGCTAAGCTGACCCTCATGTCTCTAGGACCTCCTATTCAGAATCAGAGGTGAAGGACTACCTGTGGCAGATGCTGAGTGCCGCCCAGTACCTGCACTCCCAGCACATCGTGCACCTGGACCTTAGGTCTGAGAACTTGATTGTCACTGAGTACAACCTGCTTAAGGTTCTTGACTTTGGCAACGCCCAGAGTCTCACCCAGGAGAAGGTCCTGCCGTCAGAGAAGTTCAAGGATTACATGGAGACCATGGGTGCGGATGTGGGCTTTGGCGGTCCAGTGAGGGGTGGCTGGGAGGCAGACTCACACTTCCTGTCTACCTGCTAACGGCCTCAGTCCCTCCCTGTTGTGTCCAGTCCTCCACTGCTGTGTGCCCTTCCTTCCAGACAGTTTACAGTGTCCACCCACCCACACTTCTCACCTCTGCCCACTCTACTGTGCCCCTCCCCAGCTCCGGAGCTCCTGGAGGGCCAGGGTGCAGTACCGCAAACCGATGTCTGGGCCATAGGAGTGACTGCCTTCATCATGTGAGTCCTTAAGCCCATTGGGGAGATGTGCTGCATGGGAGGGGCAGGTCTGAGGTCCAGCCGAGGGCGATGGATGACCACGTGCTCACACACCACTACCCCGGGATCCATCTGCTGGGGACTTAGACTCTGGGCCTTTTTTCTGCAGGTTGAGCGCTGAATATCCTGTGAGCAGTGAGGGCGCTCGCGACTTGCAGAAAGGCCTGCGCAAGGGCCTCGTCCGGTTGGGCCGCTGTTACGCGGGACTATCAGGGGGTGCTGTGGCCTTCCTCCGCAGCACGCTGTGTGTCCACCCATGGTAAGCAAGGGTTTCAAGCCCACTGTGTCGGGCCTGGCCCTGTTTACAATAGGGGCTCAGACACCTGACGGCCCTGCCTCTGTTCCTGGGTGTTCTAGGGGCCGGCCCTGTGCATCCAGCTGCCTGCAGTGTCCCTGGCTGACTGAGGAAGGGCCCCCGGGGTCCAGGCCCGCGGCCGTGACCTTCTCCACAGCACGCCTGCGCGCCTTTGTGCGCGAGCGCGAGAAGAGACGGGCAATGCTGTACAAGAAGCACAACCTGGCCCAGGTGCGCTGAGCACCTGCCGGACGGGCAGGGTGAGGGAGTAGGGCCCCACTAATGGGACTCTGTGTATGGATAGCACATAAATAAAAAAGTATACCCTGGTGAGATTATTTCTGTTTTATTGCCTTGTTTGGAAGGGAGGGCTAGGCTCGTCACCTGTACCATTGGTGCCATTAGCCTCAGATCCTCTGGACCTTTGGTTCCTTCAGCTATCTGTTGAGATGTCAGTGTACTCATAAGTGTATTTGTATTTCCTTTTAATTGCTAAATGTTAGTTTTGTTTATCATAGCAACCTGTAGCCTTTTTAGCTTGACTCTTTTCCTGTTGGTGAGCATTTAGCATGTTTCTTGAACTTCTCAGTTACAAGCTGCTCAAACCAAACCCACTGCCTTCAAGTGAATGCCTGGCCATGGTGGCCTTCCAGCAGGTTCAGACCATGGCGACCTTCCAGCAGGTTCCGACCATGGTGACCTTCCAGCAGGTTCTGACCATGGCGACCTTCCAGCAGGTTCTGACCATGGCGGCTTTCCAGCAGGTTCAGACCATGGTGACCATCCATCAGGTTCTGACCATGGTGACCATCCATCAGGTTCTGACCATGGCAGCCTTCCAGCAGGTTCTGAGGATATAAATCTTTAAGGGAACAGATGCCCATCTTTCTCCCACAGAGCAACTGGTGATTTGTAGCCACTGACTTTTGAGTTGACAGTAAACCCATTCACAACTCTTTGCTGTAGAGTGGGAACTCATACATGACCTCCAGTGGCTTTTTGGAGGCTGCAAATCACCCAGAAGACGGCCAGTCTTTCTCCTGTGGAGACACTGAAGGATTAGAATCCTCAGAGGGGCACCACTTTGGGTTAATAGAGCAAGCCCCTGTGGACCACACCATCAAAGCTCCCTGGTTAGCTATTAATATGCCAATAAAACATTTTACACACTTTGCAAAGCAAAAGGCCAAAGCTCATGGTGATGTGTTCCCATGTTGGGGCGGGGGGGGGAATCCACCCCATTTTACCACTGACTTCTATTAGAATTGCTGAAGGGGTGAGGAGAGGAAGGTAAGATACTTATATCCTGAGTGAAATGGTCCAGTCACAAAATAACAAACATTGTATAAGGCCGCTATTCATAAAAGAAAGTTTACATGCAGAATCATTCTAATGTGGTTACTAGGGAAGGAGAAGGAAGAGAAGTGGAGGAGAAAATAACAAATGGATAATAAACACAAAGACAGGTAAAAGGAAAGACAATTGAGAATGGATAGATGATCTTACATTGTGGCAATTTAGTTAATGTTATGGAACAAAATATGCATAAATAATGAACTGACTGAAAAACCTACATGCTTTGTAAACTTTCATTCAAATCACAGTAAACATTTTTTAAAATGCCACGACTTAGGTCCAGTGCATCTTAGTCCCCATAAAGAGGCCTTTTGCGGCAGATAAACTGTTACAAAAGGACTTCTACAGTCACAGATCACACATGGTTTGTTGTTTTTTTTCTGGTTCCCCTGCATGTATGCACATTGTTCCTCCTGCTCCCCCCCCTCAAAAAATTCTCTCTACGATGCCACCCCCGCCCCTGGCTTGAGTATGTCTGCTTCTCTACAAGCGTTAGATTGCCCAGTAGTTTTCATGTGTCCTCCCCCACTGGATCCATTGGCACCAGATAAGTGCTGCTTAGTTTTGCCAACAATTGCTGCCATATATTCATTCTTGCCTCAAGGAGAGATAGATAGATAGATAGATAGATAGATAGATAGATAGATAGATAGATAGATAGAT